CTTTTGAAGATAGTTGCATGGATACAGTGTTCTCTAGTGGCTCACGCACAGTCTTCACTCGGACGAGCTCTTCAATCTATCGCCGTTGCAGAGATCTCTATTTGTTCCGGTGAAATCACAAAATGCACACAAACGTGTCCCTGCTTGATATATAGACTGTAACAACTGATGAACATATTCGGATTTGATGTGAATACAGTGGCGGTTCTAGCCCATTTCAACTGGGGGGGCCAAGCTGGGGCCAGTTGTACTGTTAGAGGGGCCAGTTACATTTAGACCTTATTGTTGTCATATCATTTTCTGCACTGCTGCAGGCATTAACAGGCAAAATACCGTGTTTATAATCATTCAACAATGTATTTGCATTTCCATTATATTTTTACATTTGCATTACATATTCAGTATTAGTCACAGTAACTGTAATAGACATGATGTCCTTCTTTCTCTTCATTTTGAGAACTATAGAGCAAAAGCAATGGGGACCAAGAAGCTTATTAATTCATTTACTGAAAATAACTGACTTGCTAGGTAACTATGTCTAACCGTTTACAGGGTTCCTGCACACTTTTTAAAGTCAAATTTAAGGCTTTTTAAGACCTAAAGAAATCAAAATTAATACCGTACATTAGGGGTGTGCAATATTGACAAAAATATATTTCAATATTTTCAACATTTTGTTAATAATTAGATAATATTTTACTGATTGTGTTTTTGTGCTGGTGCCATGGCTGGTTTAGGCCTGTTGTTGACAGCTGACTCACGAAGATATTCATATTTTTCATATTCTATGCAGTGGTCAGTTCACAGCAGTGACAGAAATACATTTTTTAATTAAGAGGCAATATTTGCCACCTTAAATTGATTTCCAGGGGCATTTTCACCTATATATGGACATTTTTTCTAAACTTATTTAGAGTTATGCATCACCTTTTATGTCAAATACTAACATTCAAATTATACTTATTTATACAATAATACTTAATTATGCAATAATTATACAGTACCACTGTTACCAGTCAAATTAATTAATTCAATCAAAATCCATCTTTGCAGTGCAGAGGTGACACAGAAGTGGCATTAATATATTTCCACTCCATTTACAATTGCATAAATAAAGCTATGAGATTTTTTTTAAATCAATATTTAAAAATGAAATTATTTCTAATTTTAACGTTTTAATTAAAGGATACTTTAAATATGAAACTAAAACCGCCAGTAGGCGGCGGCAAGTACCTGTAAGAGGGATTCATTCATTCAAACGATTTGTTCAAACGGCTGATTTGTTCGGGAAAGAAGCAAGTGATTCGTTCAAAACGCGGATTTCAGTCATCGCTGTGTTGCATTGAGACTCACTACGGTTTCATTATGAAATTCTAGTCGGCGAAATAAAGGGAAAACAAACAATATTGACAATATTGTGTCTAAAAAGTAACTCCCAATGTTAACTTATTGTTAATTTAACTGTTGTATAACATAAATATCACAGTTGCAATTGTGCACGGGAAAACGGCACTTTTGCTGATGTGATATTCTAATATAAGAACATAATATGATATAAATATAAGACAAAAACTAATTTGGGGACATATGAACTGCACACAGCAGTGAAAGGACGATTGACAAATGCTATGTCAGCTCACAGTGCCTCGTACATAGTTAAAACAATGATTACAATATCATAATAGACAATACACATCGCACACCCCATAAGCACATAAAGAATGAACTTACAACTGAACTGACATTTACCAAATTTCTTCTTCTCTCCTCTCTCGCGTGCAGGAGACAGGCGTTATTCTGCCGCGATTCCCGCGAATGTGATGCGAATTGTCACGTGAAAATGCAAATCCACAAAGATAGAAAAATAAATAAATAATACGCATACAACGATAGCAAAAAACAGTTTTGTAAAAATTATTTCAAACTCCACATTTAGGGGGGCCACAAGGGGGGCCAAGCTTTTTGTCACAGGGGCACGGGCCCCCCCTCTAGAACCGCCACTGTGTGAATATATACACTCACCGGCCACTTTATTAGGTACCCCATGCTAGTAACGGGTTGGACCCCCTTTTGCCTTCAGAACTGCCTCAATTCTTCGTGGCATAGATTCAACAAGGTGCTGGAAGCATTCCTCAGGGAGTTTGGTCCATATTGACATGATGGCATCACACAGTTGCCGCAGATTTGTCGGCTGCACATCCATGATGCGAATCTCCCGTTCCACCACATCCCAAAGATGCTCTATTGGGTTGAGATCTGGTGACTGTGGAGGCCATTTTAGTACAGTGAACTCATTGTCATGTTCAAGAAACCAATTTGAAATGATTAGAGCTTTGTGACATGGTGGAAGTAGCCATCAGAGAATGGGTACATGGTGGCCATAAAGGGATGGACATGGTCAGAAACAATGCTCAGGTAGGCCGTGGCATTTAAACGATGCCCAATTGGCACTAAGGGGCCTAAAGTGTGCCAGGAAAACATCCCCCACACCATTACACCACCACTACCAGCCTGCACAGTGGTAACAAGGCATGATGGTTCCATGTTCTCATTCTGTTTACGCCAAATTCTGACTCTAACATCTGAATGTCTCAACAGAAATCGAGACTCATCAGACCAGGCAACATTTTTCCAGTCTTCAACTGTTCAATTTTGGTGAGCTCTTGCAAATTGTAGCCTCTTTTTCCTATTTGTAGTGGAGATGAGTGGTACCTGGTGGAGTCTTCTGCTGTTGTAGCCCATCCGCCTCAAGGTTGTGCGTGTTGTGGCTTCACAAATGCTTTGCTGCATACCTCGGTTGTAACGAGTGGTTATTTCAGTCACTGTTGCCCTTCTATCAGCTCGAACCAGTCTGGCCATTCTCCTCTGACCTCTGGCATCAACAAGGCATTTCCGCCCACAGAACTGCCGCTCACTGGATGTTTTTTCTTTTTCGGACCATTCTCTGTAAACCCTAGAGATGGTTGTGCGTGAAATTCCCAGTAGATTAGCAGTTTCTGAAATACTCAGACCAGCCCTTCTGGTACCAACAATCATGCCACGTTCAAAGTCACTCAAATCAACTTTCTTCCCCATACTGATGCTCGGTTTGAACTGCAGGAGATTGTCTTGACCATGTCTACATGCCTAAATGCACTGAGTTGCCGCCATGTGATTGGCTGCTTAGAAATTAAGTGTTAACGAGCAGTTGGACAGGTGTACCTAATAAAGTGGCCGGTGAGTGTATATATATAGGCCTATATAAACCTCTGCTCTGACACGCTTGGCAAAAGATTTATCACTAGACTATTGAATAATTCAAATTCACGTGGAAATGCTCGACACTAACAATATTAGTATCGTTACAAGACTAATTAAACCCAATGTAACGTTACTATTGAAATTTCTAGACATCGTAATGTTTTTTTTTTTCACAAACATTTTAAAACAAACGTACGCCACTGGAATGAACTGATCCATATTGATATCCTCCATATCCTTTTTTCAAATACGAGGTCAATATTGATTTTCACTAGCGACAAAAAAACAAATTATCCGTGAATTTATATGGAGCTAAGCTTTAAAAGCTTTCCATCTTTACTCTCCTCCCTGTTACGTTGCATTCGGAGATCGACTATTTTTGACTTACAAAATGCCGGCGGCCGGAAACAACAACAGCTACAGTGAGTTGTTGAAAACCTTTCTTTTTAGTAAACTCTGTTTACACAAACAATGTTCTCAATGCTCGAGTTCATGTGTAGAGGCCCTGGTGATACTTCGAGCAAGTTTTCATGTTGTGTCGAGCCTTCTTAGTGTTTTAAAAATAGCGATTTTGATGCTATCATAGTAGTGCCCCTAGCACACCCATTCAAAAGGCAATTTGACCGAAAACGAAAATACGGTCACTCTTAAAAGTGGCGTTTCCATCCTAATTATGCTTTTAAACGAAAGTTTGACTCGGGTAGATTCACAAAAAGATCCTAGGATGTATTTTGTTACACTTTTAAGTAGTTTGTCATGGTTGGAAAAAAAACACAATGGCTATCTGAACATCTTTGCCAAGCACAAACCAGTACATAAGTAATCAATAAATTGTCTGGGAGGGTCATGTCTTTTTTCATAATCATTATGAGGGTCATAGAAAGGCGAAGGGAGGGTCAAGTCTAATTTGATAGATCTCAAAACTCATCCGGTAGCCCTTTAAATAAAAAACGAACAGTCCCTAGACACTCTTTTATGTAAATTATTCAGATATTGTTGTAGATAATGGAGAATTTTGATGAAGATGAAACGTCGTTTAAAAAAGTAGTTTCATATATCCACGTGTTTAAATTAGATAGGCCTATGTGAACTTAGTACTGAAATTTAAAGGGAAAAAAAGACTCCAAGGACTCCTTGTACACTTGAAATGTTTTGTGTCCTCTTCTAAAAATGCTCAACATCGCCACCTGGTGGGAGCTAATGGGACCATTCCTCTTCTTTTTCCTTTTGCCCCAAACAACTTTGAACTGAAAATTTAAGACCTTACAAGCCTTAAGCATATATAATGATCACCTTCCCATACAGTTAAGTTAAACCCTACCTAAAATGTCCATGTGACCCTAAAGAACTTGATATACCCAAAATTTGATACCCAAATATTTAAATTGTCATCATTTACTCACCCATAATAGATGATATTTTGAAAATGTTGGTAATCAAACAGTTTTGGTTCCCATTGACTTCTATTCTATTTGTTGTCCATACAATCAAAGTCAATGGGAACCAAAACTGTTTGATTAGTTACCAACATTCTTCAAAATATCTTCTATTATATTCCACAGAAGAAAGAAAGTCAAGCAAGGTTTGGAACAACATGAGGGTGAGTAAATGATGAAACACTTTTTGGGTGGACTATCCCTTTAAGTACAGTAGAAACAACATTTTGAGAAGGGTGGGCCTTCATTGAAATAATGTGTTTTACACAATTGCCTAAACATTTTTTAGACCTCTCTACCTGCTGATAGAGAAATCCAAAAGAGTAAACACTCAATAAAATCTTTAATTTAGCATATTAAAAGAAGCAGAAAACAGTTGACAACACTGGCACTTGTTTGTTGCATCCTTCTGGTCTGATGGCAGGGCACACAACAGGAACATAACATGAATTTCAACACCACCATCAAACACTGTACTCAAAAGGTTTTCTGAGGACGTCATCATGTGACTTATATTCTTCAGCGTGTCTCAATCCTGCCCAGCATGGCACATTTTAGATGTCTCTATTATCTAGAACAGCTGATTCAACTCTGATGTTCAGCGATCAGGAGCAGGAAAACTGTGACTGCGTGTCACAACGAACAGGGAAACCGTCCCATGAGTCTTTCATAAGTTCTTTTGAATTTTTCCTGCTGAGGCAGAAGCACCATTGCCTCACCTATTATGAACACGCATGTGATTCCGACAGGTGTAGGCATCCTTAAAGCTACGCGCGCACACCGGACAGTCAAAAAGACGTAGCTGCAGATGCACTCGGCTGTGGTTCCTCAGAGTCCCGTCGTTGTTGAAGCGTTTCCCGCACTGGGCGCAAGCGTACGGCTTCTCCCCTGTATGAATGAGCATGTGAACCTTTAGGCGTGAGTGATGAGGGAAAAGTTTTCCACACTGTGGGCAAACGTGTGTCTCAGGACCACTTCCTCGTCCTCGTCCTTTTGCCCTATACTGCCTGACTTCTCTGCTGAACGGTGCGTGACGTAGGGGATTGACAGCAACGTTAGCTACATGTATACCGAGATGACCGTTGCTGTTGATAGTGTCGTTCCTGACTGGTCCGAAGTCTGTGTTTTGAAGAACGGTGTTGTAGTTGATGTGAGCCATGCCTGATTCAGGACAAGTGGTCTTTGACAAATTCGGGCTAATTGTACTGATGGACACTTGCAAGGTTTTAGCCTTCAGCTTTATACGTTTAGCTGATTGTAGTTGAGAGGAATTCAATGTATTGAAAACTTTAGGATCAGACTTGTGAGTAATATCAGTAGAAGCTGGTAACTGAGCAGAGCAATGAGCTAATGGACTGTAGACAGATGTGTTAGCATGGGTGGATTGTGAATTGAGGCTTTCAAAAGGCTCAGTTTTTACACCACAAGGTAATTCATTTACAGTGGATGTCTCAAAGTCTTCATCTGTCTGAGCCAGTGTGTTTGGTATTGTGGGACAAGGTAAATCAAAGTCTGATTCGGTCATTTGAAGCGCATGGCTGGAGAACTCTTCCACTTTCGTCCCGGTGGGCTGTTCATTTTGTACCTGGTTCTGATAGATCGCTGTAGGCATTGATTCCGTCTCAACGCTAGAGGTCCACTTTAGATGAAGAGGTGGAGATGATGGTGATGGTGCAGGATTTGAAGCGGCTGGACCTGTAAAAGATGAAGGGTCTGAGGAGATCAGGAGGAAACATAGTATCTAAGACACTTAGGCTAACTCCTTTTGGTTAGTCGGAGTTGACTGATGGCGATTTCACAGAATATCGTGTAGTTTATGATGTTCACAGACTCTTGATTCCATCCAGTCGGACATGCATGATATTTTGATCGGATTTTAGAACACATATTGCTTTCGTTTGTCATGCATCTCCGTGTTTCTGTGGGAGTTTGTTGTGTCAGACCAACTTGACAGATCACAGATAGTATGTGATCCTCAGCGGTTTAGAGTACGATTCTCTCTGAAATCATTTATAAACTAGGAAAATGTATGAGGTCTAGTGATTTAGAATTTGTTCAGATTTTAAAATTTGTGTAGCATATTCTAGCCTTAATTCATCTAAAACTAGTCCAGATTCAAACATAGCTTTTTACAACAAATTTAAGTTACTACAGTTTGAGTCAGACATTTGGACACACTAAAGTGAATGTATGTTTTTTAAAGACACTCAGCTTATACATTTTTTATGTTTCAGTTTAAGATACACAGAAAAATATGTGCAAATGATTTCATGTAAAGATTTTCACAACAGGCCCTTAAAGTGAAATATTTCTAGACATGGGTGGTTTGGGGCCCTTATTTACACCTATACATATTGATCTTAAAATATAAGCATTGAGTGTCCAATTTCATATGATCATGAGCAAAATCTTAAATATTAACATTTTAGTTGGTACAATATTTTTAGCTAAAATATTTAGTACAATATTTTAAGGCACTCCTTTGACATACTGGTGGCTATCCAGGAGAATTTTGAAAGGTTGTATGCCTGGACATAAGCATTACAATCTTGACCATGTAGTGATAATTTTTTATGGATAAATTGAACCATATAGTGAAGCAACAGTCAACAAGTAACCAGCATACATGGGAACTATTGCAAAAAACATTCAAGGAAACATGAATAAGTGTGTAGAAGAACAGCTAGACAAGGTAAGGCAATTTTGAAAAAGTAAAAATTGTTTTGGTCTGTTTTTAGTCATTCAGTCACTACATAATTCCCATACTTTCCTCTGTGTTATTTCATCGTTTTGAGGACTTATATTGTTCTGAAATAATTAAAACAACGAGGAGTTTTATTCTAACTGGTAATTTTGACTGTGTGTAAAATTGATGTACGTGATTAATTTGAGGTGAGTTGTTGATGTATTCATATTGTTATAAAACATTATAAATACTATTTATATTTAATATTTGTTTATTTATTGGTTAATAACTATAGTTTCCTGTAAGGAAAGTAAGTTAAATAAACCGCTGTTATCGACAGAACACTTTTTTTATTGTTGTTGTTATTATTATGAAAGGGCTATGTACCGATTGACTCCACGATTTTCTCAATCTCCTTCAGTCTCCGTCTCAGATACTCGTTGTCCTTCTGCACGCTGTCCAGCTCTTTCTCATACTGCAGGACAGTCCCGCCGATCATATCCATGATTTCATTAAGCGCCGCCATCAAGCGCTGCGTCAGAAACGTGTTGACGACCTGCAGCTTTGTCATCTTGACGTTGTTTCGCAGTAAATGCAGTTATTTTATGTTCGGCGTACAGTAAGACAGAATGTAAACAACACTCTTCCCTGTGGTCATATGACCACGTATTTGTTCCTCGTAACCACAGAAATAAACTAATTCAGCGCCTACCAAAGGAGAGGAGTGGTAAGTACAGAAAGGGCAGTTCACTCTGCCAGTTGTTTCTGATGAAGATGGTACCACAATTTCCACCAAAACACTAAAGTTGCCACAGTTGATGTTACTAGCAAAAAACATAATTTCAGAGATCAGAGAATTCCTTCAAACGAATCAGAGATTTCCTTCAAACAGTTGAAGAACATTTCAGAACGTTTCTGTGCATTAATACTTTGCAAGAAAGCCTTTTTTTTATTTGCATCTGACTGACCATGATGTTTTGGTGAAATATTATAGTTCCCATGTCATGCTACATTTTTTAAATATTATTCTGTAAGTCATAATAATGATAAACCTTCACATAATAATGACTTATCTCATAATAATATAAAACTTCCTCATGATTATTACTTAACATCTCATAATAATGAGAAACATTCTCATAATTATGACCTGGTCATAATCAGGCCTATTAGATTTTTTATCTCATTATTATGAGAAATCTTCTTGCTATTATGAGAAACAAAGTCATTATTATGAGACGATTTCTCATTGTTATAGGAAACTAATTCATTATTATAGGAAACTAATGCCTGGTTTCACAGACACAAGGCTTAAGCATAGTCAGACTAAAATGCATATATTAGCTGTTTTAACTGAAAGCAACTTGCACTGGCATATCTTAAAATATCTCAGTGCCATTATTGTGTCTCAAGCACATCAGTAATGTTTTTTTTTCTAAGGGACATTTATAACGGCTACTTAAATGCCCTAATTGAACTAAGGCCTAATCCTGGCTTAATCTAAACCCTGTCTGAAGGCCAAAGTTATTATTACGAGAACGTTTCTTGTTGTTATGAGAAAATAAGTCATTATAAGAAGGTTTTGTGATATTGTGCGAAATTAGTCATTATTATGAGAATTTAAGTCATTATTGAGAAAGTTTCTCGTTATTTTGAGAAACTACGGGGCACCCTGAGTCCTTGTTATGAGAACGCTTCTTGTTATTATGAGAAGCTAGAAAGTCATTGTTATGGGAAACCAAGTCATTATTATGAGAAAGTGTTTTTATGAAAAACGAAATCATTATTTCGAGAAAGTTTCTCATTATGAGATTTTTTTGTAATAATGTATTTTCCGCCATTTCCACAGTTGTGAAAATATGATTTTGTAAGTCAAAATAATGAGAAACATTCTCGTAATAATGACTTGGCATATCATAATGAGAAACTTTCTCATCGAGTAAATTTGGGGGGGGGGGGGATCGAATAATTATGACTCATAATAATGAAAAACTCTCATAGTGACATGGCATCTCATAATAATCAGAAACAGTCATTATAAGACATCATTACACAAATGTGGTTGCAATAATGCTTGAGATGTTCTTGATATTTCTATAAATCCAAGATTTGTAATCTCATCTGAACAAATGTGATTTTTAGGACTCACACACTGAAACAACAACAAATAATATTCTCAAAATTAACCAGAGTTAATTTATTAGAAAAAAAAAAGTATAAAAGACGAAATCAGTTCAAAACTTCAAACAGGAACATCTTACATTTCTGTGGGGTGGTAAAAAAAACCTCTTTATTACAATTCTGCTAAAATTCTCTTAATTACAGTTTCCTTTAATATTAATCATGCCCTTTCTAGTTCATTTATATAACATCCCATTATTATTATTTTCTAAACAATGATGAAACATCCATTCACCAGTTACTTACAGGCTTAAAGTTTGTGACATTTTTCCAAGCTGTATAATTTTACGCTTCGTCTGTAACCATAATCAAAAGGCTTGGATGACCAACTGTATGCATACATATCTGACTGCCCTATCTCAACCCATACAATGTTGATTTTGATGAAACGATTCGTCTGAAAACACACCAAAATCAGAATGTAACACAACCACTGTGGTTCACTCGCCATGACGCACAATAGCCAGTGTCCATGCTGACTGAGAGCGGTTTAGAGGTTTTCACACAGTCTTTCTCGTAATCTCTTTCATTCGTCTCTTCTCAGCACTGCCAAAGATTAGCACATTTCCTGCAGGAATAACACAAAGATGATGTCTTGCTTTCCTCATATTTATCCTATTATGCAAGCACCATTAAGGCAGTTGAACAGACTGAGCAGAAATGTTGTACTACAGCAAATACATAAAATCAGAGAACAAAGGATAATGTCGTGATAATGTCAACATTTACCATGTTTCATCCGAAGGTGCTTTAGAAGGGCCGACGTTGTGTACTCTTTGCGACCACGAGATATGATGGCCCTGCACATAAGGCACACTGCTTTGCTACAATCGCCTTCTTTTAGAGAGAAATACTTCCATACAGGGCTTGATTTGGCAATTGTCCTCTTTTGCATTTCACAGCATTTACTGCTACAGTACCCCCTGTTGGTGCATAGTATGTTGTGATATGAAACGTGATTAGCATCATAAGATGAACTGCTATGCTGGGATACTGTGGGAGGAGCTTCACCGCTCGTGTATGTTGGCTGGTTTGGGTGTTGTGCTCTGTAGGGGTCCGATGTCCCTAAAGGCAAGTCTGGACTGCATGGCGACCAGCTCTGATATACATCTTCAGTGCTCCCCATTGCATCGCCTGAACACAAGTTAGAGTTCATGAACTCAACTTTGATTTTAGTTGGGAGATGACAGTTTGTCATCTCATCCTCAACAGGATGTGTACTCTGTTCGGTGTGATCAGTGCACATGTGTGAGCCCTCGTTGTTGCTGGCTTCTGATGGCAAAGCTACAGATTCCCGGTAAGCGTCGGCAGAGTATTCAGGCTTTTCCGGTTTTATGAGCGGATGTTGTTCGCCATGTCTCTGGCATCGGTCCTGATGGATCTCTTCAAAGGGTTCTGGCTCCTCATTCTGGCTGCAGATCCATCCAGGCTGCACAGGGGAGATGGGCTGATAAGACTGCACAGGAGCTAAAAAATACAAAAACGAACATAAAATGATAACATTTAAGATCCATGTAAACCTGTAATGTGACTACAGCTCCAATAACCTATCCATTTTTATTAAACACGCCTTGATAACATTAGATTTAAAGATCCACAGATGTTTTTCCTGTGTTGATTTATTTCAAATTAAGAAGGGTAGCTGGGACAGAATTTATTAAAGTCTCTTCACCCATTTAATTTAATAGCCAATAGGCTTTAAAGTCACAATGAAACAGAAGTATCAACATATCTTTTCTTCCATATTGTGGCGTGCATCTGAGTGTAACGGATTATTGAAAAAGAAAACAATTTAGGGCAGACATAGTTCTATTGATTGGATTTTGAGATGTGGATATTGCGCTCAAAAACGGAGAAGAACGTGAGCTTGCAGTTGTGAGGGTTTAACCAGAGCGAAGTCTGGCATTTCACCAGAAGATTGATTTGTAATATTTTGAGTAAAAAGTAAATAAAAAAATGCATGGATGAATTATTTTCAATAATTTCAATAACATTCAAATAGATAGGAAAAAGATAGTGTCGGTTTAATGTTGATTTCAAATCGTGTCACAGCAGTGAACCATAATTTGCTACTATTGCTGTGTCAGAGGCTAGGGGGAAGACATATATATTTTGGAAAGCATTTAATTGGACAAAAATTGGACACATCCACAAGTGCATTTTTCCAAGATCCATTTTAAATATGAATGTTTAATAAAAGATAAGTTGTTAACTTTTAGAAGTACACTAGCATATAGATAGAAACTAATTTTTTTATTTGATGGGTGTTTTAATGGCTCTTTTAATAAGTCACGTTATATAGCCTATACACACACACACAGTACCAGTTGTGTATATTGGCTATATTCATAAAGGTCCATGTTTATTCACACAACCTCCAATACCATGTAATCAAAAATAGATTAATTTATGATGAATAACCTCGTGGCTACGAATCAAAGATGCGTGAACATAACCAAAACACGCGCACAAAATGACAACAACAAAAAACTACACTCCATGGACTCCAATTTAGATCAAGTTAAAATGTTATGACCACTATATAGAGAGAGATAGATCAATGGTCATTAACTCTTTTAAACATAATGGAAAAACATTCACCATGATATTATATGGAGTTTAATAGTTTAAGCGTCATACCAGCATTTGCGCGTTCACTGAAGCACCCTGAGTCTCGTAACATTTGTTTCAGTCGCTCGTTCTCGCTCCTGATTCGCTCCGTTTCCTCCTCATACTCCCGAACCGTTCTGCCGACTGTAAAGAGGATCTCCTTCACAGCAGCCATTAAGCGCTCGGTCATGAAAGTATTCAGACGATCCAGTTTAGTCATTTTACTATATTTAGATCGCTGTATTTAAATGATAAATACAGACAATACAGGTACCGATTACGAGCGCGTGAAAGTTCCCCCTTTCAAATCAAACCAACACATAAGGTTGGGTGCTGTGCTAACAGAAGTGTCTCTAGCACCCTTCACAGGACAGGAGGAGGGAGTACAGCTTTAACTGTAGTGTACAGCTTTTGATCAAATTACGTCGTCATTCATATTCTTTACACCAATGAGCAAAAACATTATGAGCAGCAACTGTCTAATATGCTGTTGGTCCTCAGCATTGACCCACCAAGGGATGAGATCTATAAGACCCCTGAAGGTGTCCTGTGATATCAGACAGCAAGACATGAGCAGCAGATCTTTCAAGTCCTGTAGGTTGCGAGGTGAAGCTGCCATGGATCAAACTTGTTAGTCCAGCACATTCACATCCCACAGATGCTCAATTGGATTGAGGACCTTGAACTCTTCATCATGTTCCTCAAACCATTCCTGAACAATGTGTGCATGCAGTGTGGCAGGGTGCATCATCCTGCTGAGAGAGGCCACTTCCACATGGGAGCACCACATTTTGGATAAATGTTTGTTGTCTTAGAACAAACCCAAACCTGACATTTATCCCATTGTATGGATCTAGCCAAACGAGTGAAAATAAAATTAGCTAAATGTGCTTAAATATACTAAAGTAAAACAAAAGCTTTGAAGAATAACATTTAACACAAGTTAATAAAGCAACCTGGGGGCTGTTCCATAAACCAAGATTAGAGTATAAGCCAGGCTTATTTCGGTTAGTCAGGCTTATTTTTGGTAGATTCGGTTTCATAAATCAAACTTAAAAAAGTTCAAACTCAGTTACCCTGGCAACTTATGCTGGGAAACTAGCCTGGTCCAGGGCAGGCTAACTGTCAGGCTAAGCCTCAGTTGTTACACAGATCCTCAACACTGACCGACAAGAACACAATGATATTACCACTGACAGTCTCTAATACCATTATTGGACTTTATAAATACACAGTATACAGAAAATCAACTTAAATAAGGCTACAATATAGACAATATAGACACATATATAAGGCGTTTTAAAGTTTAGGACATGTCATTTTTGTAATAAAGACATTTTAATTAAGGAGTGCCTCGGTTATCAGAGAATTCTTTCTCTACGCTGTCTAGATATAAAATGTATATATATATATAAAATGTACTTTATTATGTCTTTCAATTCAAACACATTTAACAAAATTATACAAATGGACAGTTCCTTTAAAGACATCATATTTTCCCCCAATAAATATTCCTTATTTTTCCTTCTACTTTTTTTTTCTTTTGTGATAATACCAACATATATATATATATATATATAAATAAAACAATAAATAAATATTAATAAAAATATAACATTCACATATATCAAACTCTTATAATGAATGACACATAATTCCCAATAGTTATTCAAGTAATATTATTTAAATATCAAATATTCAATATTAAATAAGTAAAGAAATAACAAATAACTAGAAATAAAAGGGAAGGTTACATAAAAATGTAGTTAATGTAGGCCAATATATAGGCTATTCCTTTCTTTTATGGAATATTCTTTGATTTTAGAGTTGCACATATCTTTTCAAAATGTATACATTTGTTCTTAATTTAATGTTATCCTCTCCATAATGTACTTTAGAAACTAAATCTAAACCACTAAACTTAAAACTGGGGATTCTTGCTTTCTCAAAAAAATTATTGCATAAAAAGCTGTAATTCTCAGCATTCTAAATAAGTAGGCTATATATATCATCTTTATAAAGTAGCATAGGTCCTATACCCAAAACTATATTTTGTATCTTTATATATTTAGTTTCTTTAAAAAAATCTTCCCTGAATTAGGCTACTTCTGTTCAATTTCTTTTTTTTTATTAGAAGTATAAAATATATGAGTGTAATGAGCTAGAAGTTCACTGCAACTTATCCAACATCATAAAGAGAAATTATTATAATTAGAAGATATTTCTAGTGTTATAAAGTATCGCATATTAATTTTCCAAGCAAAATGTATATTTTAGTCAGAATTATTGCGCTCCTATTTGGCGCGCAGCAGCGCTCGTTCAATATGAAGATTAGCAGCAAAATGGATACATTTGCACTACTTTCTAACATTTACAGATGGAGAATATAACTGTAAAATGTCATTTTTGCACTGAGGAAAAAAAAAACATGTCACAAACGCATAAAACAGCACAAAATATACGCTGTTTGGTGGTGGATCGATTTGATCCACGATCGACCTCTAGGGCTGCTTCAGAAACGCGTGCACACGCAATTATCTAGACTAGATAAACCTGGATCAAATTAGTGAGATTGCGTGAACTTCAATTACCTTTTATGGAACCACTTTAGCCCCAACTTATTTGTTAGGCTCATTCAAGTCCGGTTTTGGAGTTTAATCCCCGCTTTTCTAAGCTTCATTTATGGAACAGCCCCCTGATTAATCACAATATTCAAAGGTTTTTACAGAAACCAATATCATGAAACTAGCCATTTTTAAAACATCAGATTCAGCCGTTTTTATAGTTGTTTATAGACTGCCATTACCTTTTAAAAGTTTGGGGTCAGTACAATTTTTTTGAATATTTAAAATATTTAATAACAATTAATCAAAAGTGATAGCAAAGACATATATAAAATATAAACTGTATTCATCAATGTATTCTGAACAAAATCCATCACCGTTTCCACAAACTTATTAACATTGATGGTAATAAATGTTTCTTGGGGACCAAGATTATTAGAATGATTTCTGAAGGACTCTGTGACACTGAAGACTGGAGAACACAATATAACTGTTTTTTTAACCATTTTTGATCAAATAAATGCAGCCTAGGGGAGCATAAGATACTTCTTTTTTAAACATTAAAAACTTTTATCAACCCCAAACTTTTAAACGGTAGTGTATAATAATCAAACAATTTCTCAAAAAATAATTCATTATGTCTAGTGTCTCAACTTTGGAATGACTCTGAGACATTTATGAGTTTGCATTGTAAGCAAACCGCCATGAGTTGCATCAATATGAGGGATATGTTTCCCCAAACACGCAACAACAAAAAAACAATACACTCTTAGATTTCTCTAACCTTTGTTTTTATTCTCAATCTGGAGTTAGTTAATAAACATATGCTATTATCTGTACAATACAACAGGTTAAAATGAACCATTCCATAAAAGTATTTAACATTACTAGATTCAGGCAACACTGTAAAACATATTTTCAAAACAAATAAAACCAATATGTTGTAACTTTTAAAAAAGCAACACTATGATGTAAACGATAACTTCTAGCAATCTGTATCATAGTCTTTGACTTTGCTGTGTCCTGCTTCTTCCCAGTGGAACCCTCTCACTTCTGTGTCTGAAACAAAAGCATATTCAGTCAGGTAAAAAAAAAAAAGGTTACAAACTTCAAAGATTGAGCAAAATATACTTTGGGTTGCTGCCATTTTAGGCTTTTAAAGACCTTTTTAAGACCTGAAGATATAAAAAATGAATACTGTAGTCTAAGGGTCCGTGATATTTACAGAAATTATCTATATTTTCTGGAATTTTGACAATAACGATAATTGGATGATATTTTGCTGAATGTGTCTGGTTTAGGCCTGTCGTGGACAGCTGACTCTTGAAGATTATAAAATCCTCTTATTTTGTGCTGTGGTCTATTTACAGCAGTGACATAAATTAACTTTTCCATTAAGGGGCAATATTGGCCCCCTTAAATTGCTTTCCAGGGGCATTATTACCTTTGTAAAAGGCAAATTTTCTAACCTTATTAGAGGTTAATTTATTCAACAGCTAATTCATTCAAACGCTGATTCATTCAGGAACGAAGCAAGTGACAGTGTCTGTCTTAAGGCTGTGTGTCCACCAAAGTGTTTTTTCCCGAGGCTGTCATGAGGGCGGACTCAGGTCCCTTCTTCTGAACAGACTGCCGCCTCCTGTGGGCACAGGAAAATCTCCGCTCAATATGTGCTTTACATTTGCCAGGCTCCATTAAACCTGGAGCAGATATTCTATCCCGGAACGGACCGCCCCCAGGGGAATGGAGACTCCACCCCCTCACGGACACCTCCTGCATTTTCGGCTAGGCGGAAGTGGATCTCTTCGCGTCGGAAGAGAATAGCCACTGGCTGATAATATTTTCAAAGGAAAAGGACGCATTGGCCCACAGGTGGCCCCTTTTGCGCCTCTATGCCTTACCTCCGGTAGTTCTGCTCAGGTCATTAGCCGAATCAGGGAGGACATGCTCCCACAGCTAGGTATTTTCAGCTGGCTAAAACGCTTTGGTGGACACACGGCCTAATTACTGAGTCATTAAATCATTCATTCATTAATGAAGCACTGCTATCTATTGTCCCACAACGATTCAGCTGTGGTTTCATTTGGAATTTCCAGTTATAATTAATAAATATAAATGCCCCTACATACATACCCTGAGTTTTGGAGGTATTCTAACTGCATAATAACAGGCTACATCACAGAGTGAATAATACATGCACTCTTAATGCATGTTTTTGTTTGGTTTTTGCAAAGTGAGTGACATATTGCTGGATAAAGTCAGCATATCCTTAAAACTCAAAACACCATGTTTTACAGACTATTTTACACACCCTCCCCTACGCACCTCTGGCGAGGAGCGCAAAATGTCACAAACGTAAACAAGACAAGGTAACAATGTTGATTTGCGACCAAGCCATCAGATTTAAGACAATCTCAAAATGTAATGCCTGGGAGAAAAAAAATACACATATTTAAGACATTTTAATGACCTTAAAATCAGGAGATTCAAATGTCTTTTTTTAATGACCCAGAGGAATCCTGTTATGCTTGGGACTTTTGATGCTCTTTATGCATGTTTCATGACAAGCAGAAACTTTACCTTGCTTTGTGGCCGTAACCTTTCCCTCAGTGTCATCATTAACAGCATCTGGTAAATCCTTTGGACTCTCTGCTGATGGCTGTCAAAAAAAAATAATAATAATAATAAAAAAAAAAAATCATTCTGTTCTCTAATAAGAATAAAGCTCTATTTAAGAGGGGGAAAAATCACTTTACCTCCAGGCTAGCCTCATCCTTCACCGATGTCTCTCCACCTTGGATTCTTCTCTTTGGCCTTTTCAGTTTTTGCTGGTCTGTGCTAGTTAACGTGTCCCCTTGAAGACAACAACAACAACAACAACAAAAAACATGCAAATTCCTCATTTTGATGAATTACATAAAACTAGGTTTCTGCAGGTTTTATGAAGGTAAATAATATGTAAGTAAGGAATAAATTGTTCTCTAAATATAAATGTATAGGGAGAAACAATGGCCCTCATTTACGAAACGAACGCATGACAAAAAACTGGGCGTACACTCATTTTAACGCAAAACGGTAGCTACGATCAAATCTTTTTTGAGTTTGCGTGAACTTGCGTACAGCATAGTAATGGCAGAGAACCGTTATGAGACCATTTTGACTGGAATGAAAACATTCATCATTTAAAAATGTGTTGCCAATGGTAAAATATTCTATTGACAGTGTGTCATTTAGCCTATCCATAACATTAATAAAGTATTTATTTTATTAAATCATTATATAATAATTTAATTTAGCAATTATGAAGCTAACAGGTGTTTTTTGTGTAAGATCAATTTATTTTTCATGAGATTTACGTTACTCCATGTTGTAAACTAGGGACGAGGCTTCTAAAATTTATTTGGGTGTGATTTAAATGACGGTTGTTTTCAGCCGCCACATTTATCAGTGTCCAATCATTCGTAGGATGGGATTGGAGGTATACGAATGTTTCATGAACCACACATGAAGCCTGTCGTGAGATGATTTCTGCTCTCGGATCTGCGCTTGTTTCTACGTTAGATTGATAAATGAGGCCCAATGAGTTGTATTATTCATTTTACAAAAGTAGTAGCTTCAATCACTCTGCTCCCTGTATCTGTATCACTGTACCTTCTGATCACACTGCAAAAAAGTGATGTTTTTTGTCTTGATTTAGTGCAAATGTCTAAAGATTCTTAAATGAAGTGAGATTATGATTGAAACAACATCTGCCAATGGGCTCAGAAAAATCAACGTAATTCAAAGTGAAGTTTTCATTACTCATTGACAGATATTTGTTCTTGTTTTAAGCATAAACTCACTTAATTTTGTTTAACTGTTCATTTTACATTTGCATCTCAAGTAAATGTATTTTGATTTAAAGATGTTTAGAAATTTGTATCTGAAAACAGGACAAAAATACTGTGAAAGACATACACATTTTTGCAATGCATGCAACATTTAAAGCCATAACTTTATGAATTTAAAGCCTGGGACACACCAAGCCGAAAACAGACGGTGTTGTCGCCTTGCGTTGGCTGCGTCTGGACCAAAAAGCTGCACTTGAACACAGCAGACTACAGCCAACTGCAAAATAGCATGCGAGTTCTGCGCCTCCATGTAAGAAATTAACTGTCTGCAGGTATCAATAGTCTATATTCATCATTCAAAAGGAGAAACCGAAACAAGGATATACGACATACACGAAACGTAAACAATGCAGCGATTGCTTACCATTTTGAATATCAGCTATGTTGATAGTTTTCTTTATTTTAAGCAGCTCATGTTATGAAAATATTTGCGTTTCCACTCTCACTGGTGGCCCCAATGCCAATTGAACCAGCTGAATCGTGCAAACTGCCGCCAATGTGTGGAGCACACCGCAAAAACTAGCCCGACAGACGCTCGCCGATGGCCCGACGTTGGTCAACAACCGACCGTCGGCTTGGTGCATCCCGGCCTTAGGACTTTCTGCTCTAATTTAAGTCCTTTTTAAGGCCTTGACTTGTGTTAGGGTGAATTAAGACTTTAAGACCTTTTCAGAAACCCTGATAAAAGTTAAATAAAAATTTAGCAACAATCAATACAACAACTAATAAATTCACCATGGTATGCAAATGTGTGCTTTAAAAGGCGATACTTCTGGATGAATCCCACATTGCAGCGATGACACCAGAATGGCCTCTCACCTGTATGAAAATGAAAAAACAGGCATGAGAATGACCCTGGTTCTTGTCTGTGACTAGCTTGCTTTGAGTTGCAATATTAGAATATGCAGGGTTTTGCACACTGACCTGTGTGAGTGTATTCATGTCTGCGCAGCGTGTAGGAGGTGCAGAAAGTTGCCCTACAGTGCTGGCAGACATGTATTTTTGAATTGGGCCTCTCTCCTTCACCTAGCAAGTCATAATCCATGATCGGTGACTATACAATTAAAAGGAAAAAACAGAAAACATCAGCTTAACCTTTGTTCATCAAAAGTATCAGAAGGCTGGACGTAGCTAAGCCCAGCGCAGAACTTTTTTTTTTACATACCAGTAATAAACAACAACAAACAAAGTGAGTATGTCAATATGTGAACAACTGTAAAGAGATTTAAAACAGGGTATACGCAGGAATCTTAATTTTAAAGTTAATTTTAATACCTTTTCAAGACTTTTTCAAGAACTTCTCAATATTTTTTAATACCTCACCGCCACTTCAAGCTGTAACCATTTACATCAGGGATACTTTTAACTTAACAGTTTTAATCCTGCCCTGCAACCGATTTCATTGGTTTAGGTTACAGTGACGGGTAGGTTTAGGGATCAGTGTTTGGTGTAGGCAATCAGTACAGTGATTGACATGACCAATGAAAACTTTAGAATCAGCTGCAGGGCGGGATTTCCACTGAAGGGGTTTGGGGAAAAAAAAAAATCATGCCTCAGAGGCAATTTACTAACGCACCCACAATAGCCTAGTTTTTTATGTACCTGTTTTTTTTTTTTTTATAAAAATGACTAAATTCACACACTTTTACAATGTTTTGGGACTCAAACTGTTCGACAGCTAATTCAGAAAAAATACTTTCAAAATTTAAGACTTTATAAAGCCGTGATAAGACTTTTTAATACTTTTTAAGGGTCTTAATTTTCCCAAAATTGATTTATCACCTTTTAATACTTTTCAAGACCCCGCGGATACCCTGTAAAATATCCTTCAATGTACATAATCTAATAATAGTGAGTCCTAAAGAACAAAGTTCAGAATGCCACATTTAACAATGATATTTACCTCATTTTGGACACGTGAGCTTCTCTTCCTCTTCCTTCGTGTTCCATAGGTTTGGGCTTTCACGCTGTCATTGGACACAGTTTGGTTGCCGTGAGGTGGACTGAAATCATCACATGGATTTCTGAGAACGTCATTTTCTGTCATTGTCCTTTCTGGATCAACATCACATATTGGGATTCTTATTTCTTCATTCTTGCAGTCTGTTGATTCTTGACCAGGGCTTGGATTTGAAAAATTATCCGACTTAAAATCATAGCTGACTTCATATTCAGGAGAACGTTTGAATTGTAATTTAGCACCCTCTGTCTGCCCATCATTTCTAACCCCCTTATTTGGACTTGAGACATCTGGTTGTCCAACACTGCATGTGACACCTTGATGGAAAGAACTTTCTTGTTCATTATACAAATTTAGCTGCTCTGATTCATAGGGGGAATTTAGGCAATAAAAACCTGATGGTTCTAGATTAGCATCAATCTCTTCTGGACTCCACAGGGAAGTGAGTGTGGAAGTTGAAGGAATGGGCCCAGCATCGGGAGGAATTTCACCACAGCTATCCTCAGCTCTGTCAATTGATTTGCCCTTGCACTGCTCTAAATGAGTAGCAAAAGACTTCTTGCTAAATAACCCTAAACAATAGATGCAATAAACACTATCATCAAATGAGCAGTCTGAAGCAAACATCCTAAATGGTTTTAAATCTTGTTTTCTACTTTGAACATTTGTGCCGTGTAGAACATTTCCCTTAGTTTGAAGGAGGTTCAAGAGATGTTTCCTTTCTTGTGAGTTCTTGTCAAAGGTAAGAGCTTTTGCCACATCTGGCTCATTAGGATGAACTGACTGAAGATGATCCATCATTCTATAATGTGGTTGCTTGCAGTAACAGCAGTGATGTATCTTCAATAAGTCATCCGTGGAACTGCTTTGGCATTCAGGACCCTGTTTTTGCAAAGAAGCTATAATTAATAAAAGCATTAAAAGAGCATAATAAATCCAATTAATGAAATCAGTCAAAATGCTTTGCATGGTCAGTTTTTGCATATTAGCACTCAAAATCAGCACTTTTTTTTTTACACCTAAAATATAGAGCAACAAAAACTTGCATTGCAAAAACAAAACAAAACACTATTCAATAAAAAAGCAAACAACCTGAGAATGAGAACTCGGACAACTTTTCTTTGACTTCTTTTAGACGGCTGATCTGGGAGTCTTGTTTGATGGCTGATCTGGTAGTCTCTAAATGTAGATTCCAAATGAGGATAATTATTTCAACACACTGGCAAGGATCTAGAACAGGTGGACTTAAGGATTGAGCATCACTGTTATTTTGAGTTGTGCTGCTGTCAGAGACAAGAGGCCCCTCCACTTTTGGATAATTGTTTTTTGAGGCAGCATTCTGGCAAGAGTCAAGATTGGAAGGGCTTGAGGGTTCCGGATCACAAATCTTCTGTGCTGGGCTGTTACTAGAACTGGGGGACTTGTGTCTTGAGTATGGTTGTCCTTTGCTTCACATTTCCTAGGGTTTGGAATAGAGTGACCTGAATCTGAGATATTAGATGCTCTGAAAAGAAGTCTGAAGACGCTGATCAAGTCTGGAGCTGGATTTGCCAATTCTGCATCAACAGCTTCCTGGGTTTTGCAAGAGGCAGCTGGGTTCCTGTTGTGCTTAAACATCAGAACATGTTCCCGAAATGTGTTCCATCAATAATAATTCCGGCAAAAAATGCAGTGAACATCTGCATTACAATCCATTTTAGAGTCTCTAGGTTGCTTGATTTTCTTTTTAACTGTGAAACTATTCAATAACTCTTTCCTTTTTTACAGTCTTTGTCAATACACAGGTTCTCGTGTGATCACACTTTAAGTGCAGTTCTATCCTTCCCATAAGATCGACTATAGAGCTTGCTTTACTTTTTTTGTGCAGTCTTGTTACTACTGTCAGATTTGATGGGTTGTGGAAGAGTTTGGGAGAACTCCAAATTCTTCAGAACTTTTCACAAATAACTTAACATTTTGTACAGAAGGTTCATTCTTCCCTGAGATGTCAGTTGAAGCATCCAGAACAGATTCTGACATTTAAGAAACTTTTTTAAGAAAACAATATATAATTAATTATAAATTCAGATTTCTCTGTTCATGTATTTACAGATCTCTTTAAATTTCCACAGATTGATTAAGAACAGATTTACTTTTGAGTCCGTGTTGTACTTCCCAAACAGCTACTATTGCATACCTGGTTGCTCACACAGTTTCTTGTTTTTTGTCTCATCGCCACTGACAATCTCCATCTCTAGCAGTTTCCTGTCATCATTAACTTCTGATGTAGATGCTTGATCAGCAAATACCATATCAGATGTTTGACATGATATATTCTCCATTGAACTCATGGGGTTGTCCTCTGTTTTTCTGATGGTAATAAAAGCCATCTGGTCTCTGGCGAGTGAGTCAGTTGAGGTACTTTGATCATTTCTTTCACTTGTTACAACCTCAATATCAGTATGGTTTGAGGCACTGTCAATAGATTTGTCATGAACACAAGTGGACTCATCAGTCTTGATGGATTCAATTGCATCTGCAGCTGAAAAAATGAAGTCGCTGGAAGGATTTTCTTCAGGATTGCTGCCCACATCTGACTGTTCATTTTGAACGCTAGGCACTGAGGCAATTTTCTTTTCATCTAAACCTCTGGAAGAATTCAGCACATCTTCATCAACATTTTCTTCACCATCTGAGAGGACAACACAAACTGATTCTGAGTACATTTTCTTCTGCATGTCACCAGAACTAGTTTCCTTGAACAAAGACCTTAAATCGCTAGTCTGTGGGATTACAGTTAATTTCATAGTAGAAATGTTATTACAATCACACTTCGAATCACACTTCATTCTTCTACATTCGGATGGAGCATGTTCAGCAGCAGTTCTTGCGTTTGTCTGCTCTAGTTCATCATCAATTATGATCAGCGGCAGCTGGTTTGTGGCCGTTTTCTCGGAAACACCAGAAAAATAACAGTCATAGTCCTCTTCTTGTTGACTCTTTGTGTTTTTTCCCTCAGAGGATTCAACGGCCAGTGGGCCCCTAAAGTTATCAAGCTCTACTTCTGATTGAGAATCATGCTGTGGAGATACAACCTCTATAGGGACTATTTCTGTCTCAGGAATAACACGGTGGCATTTTTCAGGCTTGTTCTGGATGCCATGTCCAGAGCATTCCACTGGTATTATGCCAAGCTTGGAACCCACAATTTCATCTTCCACAGCATCTACCATTTCATCATCAACCAATACTGAGCATGATGTTTCTTCATGATCAGAGCCACTTCTTTTAGAACGACCTGATTTTAAGTCTCCAGACACTGAGCTCCTGTACTTAAATTCAGTCATAATTGGTTCTAGAACAATCCTTGGCTGCAAACTGAATTGGCTCAAGATATCTCTGAATAGCTCAGGTTTGGTTCTTTGATTATTCTTATTGCAGGTGGTAGGCTTCTCAATAGCTGTCTGAGGTAGAAGGCTGAGGATGCCAGTATGGTCCTCCATTCCAGTGGTCTCAGTACTGCTCGCGAGAGCTCCAGAAACTGCACGTGTTGTACTGCTGCTCAGATGTGCAGATTCGTCCTCATTCCCTGTTTCTTCACCCACGGATTCTTCAGACTTGTCACTGTTGTTCTCTGGAGTCTGTATTGGGGGAAATCGACAATCAACCAATTTCATAATGACTTGAACAACAGCCTTTTGGGTCAACATGACCTAGGATTCATTGCACAAACAATTCCTCTTTTTTCCTTGAAGATATAAAACTGGAAGAATCAATCGGTCAAAATGATTATCGCATAGACTCTCCTACCTCCTGATTATGGTATTTAGGGAGTTGGCCCCTTTTCAAGTCTCCATAAAATTGTTTCTTGCGCTGCCGATAGGAGTATGGTTTCTCGCCACAATGAATCTGCATATGCATCAAAAGCCGCATTTCCCAAGCAAAAACTTTGCCACAAAATGGGCAGGGTAGTGGCCCTTGACCTCTGGTTTTGTCTTTCCGCAACTCTTTGTTTGGGGATCCTTGAGGTTTCTGCTGAAGGGGTACGGAGAAAAAAAAAAATGTAATGCATATTTGTGCAGGGGCTAATCTATGTAATGAGTGCCTTCACCCAAAAATTATTTCTAAAAAAGGAAAATAAGTAAAAGTTCCTTCAGAAAGACATTATTAGCTTTGAAGGTGCTTATTAGGTTCCTGAATTTTCTGATTCTCTTCTGGTTGATTTAAAGTAATTTAAAACTATGAAAATGTAAAGACGGATGTGGATCATTCTTCAGGTTTTTGTAAGACACATACCGTATTTGGGTTGAGATTACTTGTTGACGTCTTATCAAGCCTCTTTTTCTCCTCCTCCCCCCATCTCATTCCTCCTTGTTCCATAAGCTTATCTTCCCCTAGATATTGCTCTCTTTTCCTTTTCTTTTCATCCTGCAACCTACGTCCCTGGTGTTTCCTTGTGTGCATCTTTAACCTCTTTTCCTGAACGAACTCTTTGCCACATACTTTGCACGGAAACATCCTCTTCAGTTTTGTAGCACTTGAGTCTGAAGTGTCTTTATTTGATTGCTCAGGAGCGCACTCAGAGTCATCTGTCCCCCTTTTAGGAAGATCTGCACTTTGTTCTGCCTCATCTGTAGTGATTTGCGGCACATCAACAACCAGGTTAGATTCATCACTTGATGGACTTTGTTTATCGGTGACCTTTTTTGGTTCTTCATCTTTTTGTTTCAACTCCTTAGTGACTTCCTGTGTCTCAGTTGTGCGCTTACGCAATTTCTTATCAATCAATAAAAAAAGGAGTCTGGGTTATTATACAAAAAAAAAAAAAGTTCAAAAATGTGTGTCTCAGCAAGTATTCAGTAACATTTTCATATTTAATTACAAATCTAAAAAAAAAACCAACCTGGAGGTAACCAGCAACAACCAGATAGGACTCATCCCTTGATTGACTTGGTTTAGCGTTGACCTTTGATGATTCTTTATTCTTTTTTTTCAACTCCTTAGTGACTCCCTGTTTTACAGTTGTGCCATTACGCAATTGCTTATCGATCAGTACAAAGGAGTTTGGGTTATTAAATAGAAATAAAATCTAAACAATTATCAGTGTCTTAAAAAGTATATAGTAACATTTACCTTTTAAATTACAAATCTGAATACCAACCTTGTAGTAAGGATGTTGTGCTTTATTCAGGCCACTGTCAAAGACTTCAAACTGACTACGCCTCCTCTTTATATTCCAGTGTTGAGAGCGAATGTGCGGCTTCAGCCATCCTTCACGGATAAACACTTTATCACAATGTGGGCAGGCGACCGTTTTCTTTAGCTCTGGCAAATTCTGTACTTCTGTAGTTTTAGGTACTGCCTCCATATTTCCTTCTTTAGATGGCTAAGAGAAATACAAACATCAACAATTAATAGGAAAACATGAATTGAAATCACATATCCAGATCAAAATTATGCATTGTGTAAGCAGGTACCTCAGTCTGGATTGGCATCTTAAGAGTTCTGCGTAATAACGCCCTTTCAGCCTTATGGGACTTCATGTGGAAACGCAACTTGCTTGCCAAATTGAAGACTTTGTCACACTTTGGACAATGGAGCTCACTTTTGCCAGTAATTTTGGCCTTCTTCACTGCATCGTTTTTGCTTTGCTTCTGAAAGAAATGCAAGTCCAATTGACAATGAGAGAAGCAAGGAAAGGCACATGCAATGAGCTCCAAGTGTAATATGCCCTGGATGTGAAAGTGAATGAATAATGTCTGTATGTTTTACAGAAGTCATACAAAGTCACAGCATATTTATACATTGTCTTTAACAGTGAACTTGAAAGTATCATGCACTGACACTGATACCAAAATGTCATAGCATTTCAATGAAAATATATTAGTATTGTAAACCGCCAAACCACCCACAAAAATGACTCAAATGACTGAAAAACAATCCATTTCAAACTTTTTTTATTAAAACCACTGCATTTCAACTGCACTGTATATATACACAAATGGTACATCAAAATTAAAAAAGGGTTGTGATTTTCTATTTTGTATACATGTAAAAAAGTTTGTGATTTTCTATTTTTTTTATATACATATTTACAAATTTCCATTTGATGGTTCTTCTGGCATCAAGACCTTCATTATCTCACTTTCTCCTTCTGCAACGTGTTCTTCTGGCTCAAAATGCTCCAATTTAATCTGTGTTGTATTGATCAGCATATTGACTGGTCGGCTAAACCCTTTCGCCTCTAAATAGGCATGTCGATGGTTTATTCTAAGATGAGACCACAAATTCGAGGTGTTCTTCTGAGAAGCCTTGCTGGACCCCTGGCTAACTCTGGCTGCACATTGATGGCAGATGACTTCACCATATGCATCTTTTGAGAAGTAGTCCCAAACTTTGCTAAAACAGCGTTGTGATCCACATGTCACCTGTGAATCAATGAGAAAAACATGCATAAGCTTTGTGTTAAACTTTAGCTGTGATACTTGTTTGCATTAAATATATTATAAAACATACTGAATGCCTTCAGTTGTAGAAATGGCTTGAATTACTTAAATGCAGGGGTTAAAGCAGACATACAAAAAGAAAATTATCCAAACATTTAATAATAATAATTGACTTGATAGTAAAAACAAGAATTTAATAATAAAATTATCCAACAGTATGTTCTTCAGCTCACTGGTAATACTACCGTAGTCAACATTTGAAGTGGATCAAAAAAGTTAATCAAAGTTGTCCTAAGACAACGGGTATTGTTCAAAATTCATGTATAACTTTGATGAAAGGTTTTGATCCACTTCAAATGTTGACTACTGTAGTTTTAATGGTTTATAGCCAGGGTATTCAACCAGGGGTCCCCCAGGATACACCATTGAAAAAAAATTATTTAACATTCCATAACTATTTTCTCATAAATGGTCTTTAAGCATTGCATGATTTAAAAATCTGTCAATGATAAACAGCAGTTGAATAAAATGCTATACATTACAACTATAGGCTAATCAATAGTGCTTGATCCATCTTCTCGCTAAAATCTACTGCTATAACCAGTCAATATTTTCAGATAAATGTAACTAATGTTATACTTTTAGTTCCTGTTTATATCTATATAGTGCAAGTGGCAGATTGCCTTGTAATGATAAACCTCCCTCAGCATTTCCTTCTTTTCGTGTAGTAGACGACTAGCAATGTAGTACTATCAGCTGATAAAATTGGTACAATTACAGTACACTTTCATTGTTCTTCAATTCAGCTTTTGATAAACCCATAATCCACTCTTCAAGCTTGTTCCATAAAATACATTATCTGGCAGAAAAATTAACATGATTACTTAACTAGGCCTATAGCTGATATGATTGTTATGCACAAAGGCTGCAATCAATTTGATCCCAAATCAAATAACTTCTTCTCAGGTAACATAGCAGTCGCAGACATTTGTTTGTATGAACCGTGTGTTTCGAGCAACACACCAGCTCTTGTTTTCATAACTTTCAATTTTGACCTCAAACTCACCGTTTAAACTGCATCCGCTTCAGTAGTTGCTTTCTTGTTCTCTTCGTTGATTGGCTGTAGCTGTACAAACGTGTTCGGTTCATCCTAAGATAAGTGCTCACTATCTTAGAACTACTATGGAGACTGGAGAGGTCATTTTTCATACACTTTGGTCCCAATTAGTTAACTTCTCACTAATAATGGCAAAAACGTAAATATTGGCCAGAGCCAGACCAGCTACTATTTGCTTATTTTGAGATAACAGGTATCGGCCAATAACTATGAAGTGCTTATCCCCCACATATTCTACTGACTGTTTTGTGTAAATGGATAGTAAATAAAGTCTATTAAATAAAATGTACAATTGTTTTGTGAATTTTGAGTAAATGTTGTGTAAAACAAGTTTTCTGCTCATTTCAGCAAGTCCTTGGACAATTTGTTATCATTGAATATCAGGCAACCTACTTTCTAGGTATCAGCATCAGCCATTAAAAAACCCATCTTGGTCAAACAATACTTCGAAATGTGTGGTGTGAGATCTCTAGCTGTGCCCGTTTTATTTTTATTTTTACCTCTTATTGTATCAATTAACATTATACATTTTACAGCAGTTTTAAATTTCAGTGATCAGTCACGCAATGTTTACAAAGCCCAAATCTGTCCCACACATCACCACCAAATATTCAGAATAGTGGTTGATGATAGCTTTTTCAATGACTCATTTATTTTCCTCTATCTCTTTACATCCTTGATAGGGCTTATGTGCGAGGGAAAGAAAATATCCATGTACTACTCGTATATCTACAAACACTATTTCTTACACTAGAGAACATGAAGTGCAATACCTTGGGTGGTTTCATCTTCACATCCATCATCTCATCGGGAAGGTTTACAAGAGCTTTGCCCGTGTGGGTTTTCATGTGCATGGCTAACTGACAGGGCCGAGCGAACACCCGATCAGGGCAATGAGGGCAATGACACCGCATCTGGTTTGCTCCACCATTTTTCTTGCTTCGATGTTGCACAGGGGCAGGAGTTCTGTTTTCTGGTTCTTTATCACTGCTGTGGTCACTCTCAGTAGACAGGCTGGCCGGCTCTTCTTCTTGGTCTGGTGCAGTAACTGCTAGCCGTTTAGGTGATGCGCTACTCCTGTTGGTATGCTCAGAGCAATCCGACAGATCATCCACTATTCCTCTTGATAGCTGTGCGTGAGAGAAAAACAACACTAGCATTAAGCATGCATTAATTAGTCCTCCCATATAGTAGTGTTTTTTTTTCCCACAAGGAATTATGGTATATGACTAATCTACCATATTAGTACCTCTTCAATTTACAATTAAAGAACTTTATTTTTTAGTTTTCTATATATTTAAAATATTTAATTCCATATTCAATAAAAACTGATATTAAAATTCCATACTATTTTGTCAAAATAAGTTATTGTTTAGGCATCACAACAACACAATAATGCATTGCACAGTATAATTCATTTTTGTATTTGCTAAAATTAAATTTAATAGGTTTTTAAATGTGAGCATTAGAAGAAAAGGTAATCTACAGTAAAAATGTAAATATTGGGGACATGAGCATGTACAATTAAATGTAAAATGTCAGCTCATATGGATAATAATAAAATGCTGATAATATTGGTTAACCAATATGGTCCTGTGTTACATTCGGCCCTAACCCTAGTGAATTTTAAATGCCATTTGCAAGGCATTTTACTACTTAAAAACGACATATTTCAAAGTGAAACAGTATATTCAATGTGAAAAATGAAGCAGAATAACAGAATGCTTCTGCTTCCCAATAAGACAAAAAATTAAAAAAGGTAAAAAGGGTAAATTCTGTCATGTTGACTTCAATTACCATGCTGATGTTTACCTGAGAAAGGGCTTGCTGTTTCTTCATTTTCTTATTGTCACCGTAGAAGAACGCCTTGCGCCGGCGGTACTTGTACGGCCTCTCAGTGGAATGGATCCGCATATGAATCATCAGCCTCTGTTCCTTTCCAAAGACTTTACCACAGTCTGGACAGGCAAATGACATCCTCTGCCTTCTGTTGTACCCTCTCCAGTGCCTGACCCTGGTGGTACTCGAAGTTGGATCAAAGTCCAGAGGGGCCATGTAACTTTGGGCAGAGTCCCAGGTCATACCGTCAGCCAGGCCATAGGAAATACCAGTGCTTGTCCCAGCAATGTCAGATCCCTGATCAATGCTTTGAGGTAATGTGGTGGCGCTGTAAAGGGGGTGATCAGCAGTCTCTGTTTTGACTACAAGTGCTTCTGACTCTTGTCCAAATCCAAAGTTGACAGCACACTCATCTTGTGGGGATGGATTGGACTCGTCTGGGATGGAAAGCGTAATGGGTTCTGATGGGCCTGAGAATTTAAAGAAACCAAACAGCAACCATTTGATGAGATCAAGTGTGATTTCTGTTTTCAACCCAAGAAACTAAGTAGCTGTAGGAGGTGAAATGTGCTGATTTAACCCAAAAGGAAATGCAAAATATATTTAGTCTCATATTTAGTTTTTTACTGGAGATGTTTATTCCAGTGAACTCTAGAGGGAGTATCTCTTTTCTGCGCGCCCCCTCAACGTTTTGGATGGAAAACAACAGGCACACAAATTTACTTCTATATTTACATCTATATTTACTTCGGCCTAATGCAGCTGCGATCAATCATACGGATCTGATGACAAATATTCCACTTCCGGTATAATGATCATTCATTGCTGTGGAAGACTAGAAGCTGAATGCACGCAGATTATCTCACCCAAAAAATAGTCCGCGGTAGTGCATAGGCTGAAGAGCACAAAACTGTGTAACTAGCAACCATGTCTCCGCCCCCAAAGTTTTCATCACATATTGCTATCAGTCTTTCACCATATTTTTCGTTAAAAACTACATTATTCCCGGTGTCGTCCTACCTGGCCAGTCCGCTTGATTAGCCCCCTCCATCCATCGGAGCCTCCTTCTCAGAATCTCGTTTTCCTTCCGTGCCCGGATCGTCTCCTCCTCGTACTCCAGCACAGTCCCGCCGACCATATCCATGATCTGCTCCACCGCGGCCATCAGACGCTCGTTCAGCGCGCGGTGCAGAAGCTGCAGTTTCGTCATTGTGGCTGTTTTATCTTTGCAATTCAGCAGCAAAGAGAAACCACTGAAACGGCTAACTATCCCAGTAGCATGAACACAGTTTGCCTTTCGCCTCCTAATCGGAAAGAAAAAAAGGCAGCAGGAAACAACTGACTGCCACCTACTGGACAGGAGGAGTGCTTCCGTCCGGCTACTCGGCTGCAGAGCAAAAGTCATTATGCAAATATTAGTGGGAGGGGAGCAAACCTGCTCGAATGGAAGTCAACACAAAACCGTAGTAATTTAAACGCTTTTCTTTTTATATACAAGATTAAGCACGGTTTTCAAATATTTCAGTATTGACATAAGTAGTCGGTGGTCAAACTGGGTCACACAAGTCAAGTTGGGTGGAGGTCAGGGGGTTTCAAACTGGGGCCTCGAGGGGGTTCTAGGGGCTCCACGAAAGAGTTCAGAGAGAAATGTTGTAAAAAATAATAATGAGATTAATGGTGGCTCTTTAGCCTATATTTTATGTTTCTCTTCAAGTTTATCTATGGTGGGTAAAATAAATGATACAATTTCACCTTAATAGAAAGTAAGAATGAACATAATTTTCTAGATTGAATGTACATTTTATAGTATTATTTTTTACTACATAAATATATATATGTGTGTGGTTAAGAAATGGGTCCCTCGCAAAGAAAATATCATATTCAGCTCCATGGCATTAAAAAGTTTGAAAACCTCTAATCAACACTACAGTTCTATTGCAATTATTTTTCCGTATAGCAATTAGTTTTGGGCGGTACTGAAAAGTCATTGCGGATTTTTCTTTCTTTGTCTTTTGTTATGAATTACATTTGAAACAAAAAATAATAAAAACTGTAGTTTTGTTTAAAAGTATTTTATATAATTGAGCTAGCTGTGTTGGTGGTGCCACAGCGTGGGATGAACCTCCACAGATTATCTTCACAATTAAGAAATAAAATAATTAAAATCAAAATTCCATATTCTTTTGAGAATATTCCTTAAAATGAGTAGGGAGAGAGAGCCTTAGTGGGGTCCCATCATCACAGGGCCCAACCCAAGACAATGTATACAGGTTTTCACCCCCGATGACAGCCCTGCAAAAATAGTAACTGGAATTATCGTTACTGCTTTAAACCTGTGGTAACTTGGTATAAGTCACTACTGCAGTAAACATATTTTTTACAGAAATATTCTGAAAGCTTCTTGCACCGTTTGAAGAACATTCATTTGATAAAATTTTACAATAGTGAAAATTACTCTAGTAACTATGGTATCTACATGGTTAACTGATTACATGAAATTTACATTGGTGGACCATTTGCATAAATTATTTGTGCAAAATTATGGAAGATAAGCTCATTGAGCCTGGGTGAAATCTGGGATATAGCCTACTATATGGACAGAATGACAGGACAATGAAAGATGAATGGAAAAAACAATACAAAGAGTACCAATAAAAACTGAAGACACAAACATACTAAGAAAAAACAATGCTAAATGCAGACAATTATAGGACATTTATGACGTAATTACGGCATAGTTATCATATTACCAGTAAAATAATCATTATAAATGCATTTATTGCAGTGTTAGTAACTGGTGATTCAGTGATTGAACTGACATGTTAAAGTAAAACAATATGTTCTAAATGACAAGTAATATATTTCCAAGATAAGGCATCATTAACTGCATCCCTAGTTATGCACACATACAGTATCCTCACAATGTCCACATTTACATGTTCCTCAGATACAATAACTGAGATGTCAAATTACATTTCATCTAGTTTATTCAAGAGTTTGTTGTTACATACAACAAAGTTCCTCGTTTACACATGTTTGACAGTCATGATCTTCTCAAATTACATGATTTTCTTCTGACAATTTTGCAGTTTAAGTAAATGTTACTCTTCAGTCTACCACATTGATTCATTTCCTAATATGCTATTTTATATTTAACTTGTCCTCTCAGTGATTCCCGCAGTCACTGAAAACCTTGAATTTAAAAATCGTGATATAATGGAAATGAATAAAATATTAAAATTAATTCCTTTCTAGTGAATATACATTTTTATAGTTATGCACTGCCTAAAAATATTTCAGGCTAGACACTGCTCTCTGTGGAGTATTTATAATAGTCAACATCAGTCTTGAAGTATGGTAACTCATGGTACTCTGTACAAAAAACAAAGTGGTCTTCCTCAAAGTGGAAAAGCGAAGCCATTCTTAGAGTGTTTTTTGGCTTACTGGAGACATTTGTGCACACATATTAACTGGAAAGGTCATAAAATTTTAAGTCAAACAGCATATCGGCCTTCTGTATTTTTTATGTAACATGGAAGCTTCTAAGATCCTTAAAATAATAAATATCCCAATATATCTATCACAATGCGGGGTTCTTTCTCGAGGTGTGCCTGCAGCGATCGGTCACTCGGCGGACAGCTGTTGGTCGTCTTCTAGCGTATGCGCTGCTGGTTCTTCATTGAATCTCTGGCACGTGCGCTCATGTCTCCTCATGTTCCCGCTCTGGCTGAAGGTCTTTGAGCACCAGTTGCAGCGGTAAGGCCGCTCTCCGGTGTGTGTGCGCATATGCATCCGAAGGTAGTCAAACTTGGAGAAGTTTCTGCCGCACCAGTGACAGATGAAGGATCTATCGTGTAATTTCTTGTGGAGCTGCAGCTTTGCAAAGTCCTTCAACTGCCTTCCACATTTATTACACTTATATGGCCCTTCGTGATCCTGATCTTTCGCTGATGCCCTCCTAGGTTTGGTGAATCGTGTGCGAAGGCGATCCTTTCGCTGCAGTCTCCTCAACGTGGTTGAAGTGTCACTGGCTGTTCTCAGCTGGTGAGCGGGTTCTGAGTCATGGGCAGGGGTAGTAGTAACTGAAGATGTTATTGTGATGATGGTGTCCTCGGGCTCAATCTTAATCCTTGGTGTTGAAACAGTGGGCAAGGTCACATCCCACGTCTCATCCGTACTCGAGCTGTCGAACTGAGGAAAGAGTCGTTCACCTGCATTTTTTTGATGCGCCGACTCCCTGTCCTCTGCCTCTGTCTTACAGGATGAAACGGCATCTAGTATGCGTGGCTTCAGTTCACTAGGTGTATCTTGACTCTGGTCATCGGCCTCCGTTTGCTGATCCTCTAGGTCTTCTGATTCAATTGGAGACGTGTACCCACATGATGGCAATTCTGTGGGTGAGGCTTCATCAGGAGAGACATAGTGGACTTGTCCTGTATGGTGAAAGCAAGAAAGGATGAAAAAAACAGCATTCCCTGATGGTACTTACTTCAGTTATTAGTTGCAGTATTGGTCATTTTAATAGAAGCTAGGGTCATTATTATATTCATGAAATGCATACAAACATAAGTATATCAGTTCTAAGCAACATAAGGATGTACAGAGTGACCTTTTTGGGTGTGGAACTAAATATTTGCAATGGCTGAAAGTTTTATCCACTTGAAACCTGTTTGACAGACTGCTTGGTGTCAAAGTTAAAAGCGCTACTGAGGAATTACATTTCACTAGGGGTGTAATAATATATCTTGTCACAATATATCGCAATACAAAAATGCAACAATATGTATCGTGGATAGTGACAAGATGTATTGTGTATAGGGCACCCAAAATGAAAATTACTGTGCATGAAAAAATTCAAGTTTAAACTACTATATAAAATGTTGAATATGATGGAGGATAATGCAATGGGGGAATATGTGTGGGTCCTCCTGATAATGCCAAATGTCTTATGTTAGCAGTAAAAAGTGGCCAACATTATTTTAAAAATATCTAGTCAGTGACAGAGTGCAAGCATATTCGTCTAAAAAAAATTTGTTTTCAGCTTCAGAATCATGAATATTTTTTATTCTGGTGTCACCATTGTCCTGTGCATTGGGTTACGAGCACCAAGTCCAAGCCTATTCTTTTATTACACCCCCAATTTAATACCAAATTTTGCATTTTAATCAACAGTACATTTTTTGTTAACCTTTTACCATATGTCTTGGAGAGTTTTGCAATAATATTGTATCATGAGTTCAGTATCGTGATATGTATCAAATCGTGACATGAGGGTGTCAAAAATAAGAAAAGCGGTGTGGCCTAAATGTCTAATACAACATACAACCATTCAATCAGAATCAGAAATATTGCCAAGTGTACTTACGCACACACAGGAATCTTTCTTGGTTAATCAAAAGTTAGGGGTCGCAATCTTTGTTTTTGAAATTAATGTCTTATGGTTACCACAGCTGCCTTCATTTGATCAAAAATACAGTAAAAACAGTAATCGTGTTAAATATTATTAATACAGTGTAAAATCATTGTTTTATATTGTAATATATTCTAAAATGTCATTTATTCCTGCGATGTCAAAGCTGAATTTTCAGCATCGTTACTCCAGTCTTCAGTGTCACATGATCCTTCAGAAATCATTCTAATATGCTGATTTGATGCTCAAGAAACATTTCTTTTTGTTATCTATGTGAAAACACTTGTGAAAAACACTTTTTCAGGATTTTTGATGAATAAAGTTGAAAAGAACAGCATTTATTTTGAAATACATATTTTTTGTAACATTACAAATGTCTTAATTGTCACTTTTAACTAATTTAATGTGTTTGTGCTGAATGAAAGTATGAATTTCTATAAAAACAATTTAATAACCCTGAATATTTGAAAGGTAGTGTATATGTTCAGCAAATGTATGTTTGAATACAGTTTTTATACCTGTACATACCTGATTTGTGTGATTTTGTTACTCTATTCATTATTTATAAAAAATAAAAATAAAAAGATTTCTTTTCCACTCTCTCACCTCACTGCTCTTGTCGTATCTAGCAATCAAAATACAACATCATCATAATTAAACATTTTATTGTATGGATTGCACATTTACCTGCCTTTTATAAATTCACGTCCACACACTGACATTACATAACTGATAACTTAATAATACAACAACAACAAAAATCAGTAAAAACGATCAACATGGTTGTGCTAGACTATAGTCAAGTTTTCATAACATCTTTCCGATATTTCCTCTCCGTGTGGCCCTGCAGCGGTGACCACTGTCCTCTCTCTCTCTCTCTCTCTTTCTGAATATAAATGTGTTATTATCCTCAATGAATTGAATATCCATTCAACAGACTATGTTAAAATTATATTATTGTTGTATGACTGTAATTGCTGGATACGACAGGGAAGGGCTAGACCAGTGAGGTGACAGAAACTAGTGGTAAATAAATGACGTCTACGCTTCTGTGTCAGTCAGTTTCACTATTAAAATGCAGTTAACGGGAAAATGCACCCAGCCTGGGTTGTTTTAGAGTGAATTTACCGTTTAAATGCGCCTGATTCCTCCTCAGAACATCACTCAGCTGTTGTTTCAGCTTCGCGTTTTCTGATCGTGTTTGGGCTGCTTCCTTTTGATAGTCATTCACCGTCGCTTCCACCTCCACCCAAATCTCACGAATGACAATTGACATTCGCTTCATCAGGTTAGAATGTAACTTATCTAGTCTTGACATTTTACCGAAGTATAAAAAGAAAACAAATTCGATAAAACACTCGAATAAAAGCAACTCACTACACTTGCTTTTTCTTCTCTTGTTTTAGCTATACGCTGACTGTACATGTAAATTACTGCCACCTACTGTACTGTAGCATATATGCACGAGTAGACATATTCACAGCCCAGCATAATATCAAATCTTCAAAGTATTTTTCAATACCAGGTTTATACATATGTATATATATATATATATATATATATATATATATATATATATATATTGTTTGTTTGTTTATTTATTTATTTTTAAAGGAAATATATGCGTGAAGATTATTATTGTAATTACTCAATTTATTGTTTTAAGATGTTTGTATGTTTAGTAGGTTGACCACCATCAAACAAACTAAATGTGGACAATGTGGAACATGTTACCAACACTAAAACATAACCTGAAACTGTAATGTTTATCTAACTTAATAAAAACATTTGTATATTCTGCCTTTCAGCTGATAAAAATCCTTTGTTCTTTAGTCCCTTCCAGAAAACACCATTACATCACAATGTAACATAACATGTCTTTTATTTTACATGTCATTTAAATTCAACATCATTGAGCCCAAAGGCAGCAGGGATCATGCAGATAACTATTTTTGAAACAGTTCTGACCAAGTCCAACTAAAATCCAACAAAATAAATAATGAACAAATAAAATATTAAACAACATGAAATTAGATCATTGACAGTCATATTAAGAATATATTAAACCAAAAACTTTCATATTTTTAGAAAGGATGTGAATTAAAACAACCACAGCAGGCAACTTGATAATTTCTGTTAAATTTAAAGGGATACTCCACCGTTTTTTTCATATTACACTGTTATTCCCTTAACTAAGACGAGTTGATGCATACCTCTCTCGTCTCAGTGCGTGCACTAAATCGCTCTGTCTTGCGGCGAAACTTTGTTAGCACTTAGCTTAGCCCAGTTCATTCATTAGGATCCAACCAGAGAAGTGACCAAACACCTCCACGTTTTCCCTATTTAAATACAGTTACGCGAGTAGTGTAACTCGACCAAGAATGGTGACACAAAATAAAACGTTGCGCTTTTCTAAGCGTGTAAAGTGGATAACTACAATGTATGGCGGAATACCACAGCAAGTGACAGGAAGTCAGCTATGAGTCCTGAATCAAATCCTTCCCTTCTATATAGTATGTGAAAAACAGTACGCCAAAAGAGTAGTATGTCCAAATACATAATTTGAAATTTGGAATTTGAAATTGTAAACTCGCGCTCGATCGGCCCAAACCAGCACGGAAGGTCTATACGTGTTACTGTCTTTTCTCATGGCAAAGTATTTTTGATTAAATGCAATACATTTCTAATATGTATTCTCTCGTTATTTGATATTTTATTATGACTCCATAAATGAAAAGGTTTTTAATGATATCTGTGCATCATTAAATATAAGCGAATGTTTGAATATTCCTTTTAATTCTTTAATGAAAATAATGTCAGAGTCCGTTAGAATAAAATCAAATGTTTACAATTTATTATGTCCGGTAAATGTATAATCAGTTCAAAGATAATCAATACAAAACATCAAATGAGATACGAACCCGACATTAGGAAATACATGAAGCTGATCTGAGATGCAGAAGGCCCCGAGCCCCTTGCTACATTTCATTAAACTTCTTTCACATGGAAACATGTGCTAACAATGGTAATTTGCATTCAGAGGTTACACCTTTTGAGAACAGGGGGGTTTAACCATCCCACCCTCCTTTGTGTGTAAGTTATCTCTAAACTCTTAAAGGGAAAATTTTTATTCATAATATGTCCTCAATGGTGTACAAATACCTTTGCCAATTATCTGACTTATCCTCGTAAACGAAGAATTTATTATCTTTATATACATGGGACCATAGATATCCACAGGGGTGTAATTTGTGGGGGGGATGGGGGGGATATAACCCCCCAATATTTAAATCTATGCATTACAACCCCCCCATTATTTATACCATGATCACAATATCAGGAGGCATACCCAAACTTCAACCCCCCCAATGTTCAAACCAAATCTACGCCCTTGGATATCCATAAGGCTAGATGTCTTACGGCGGAGTCTCTATCGTCATCACCGTCGGCCATCTTGTCACAGGCAAGCTTTCTGGCGGGCTCTGTGGGGCCCTGTCCCAAATGGAACCCTAAGCACTCGCGGTCTTCCTCTGAGTCCGCACTTTCGTAACGTAATGCCGCTTTGACTGTCGGGAAGAAGTCTGCTGTGGAGTCCGCATCAGCACGGGCTCGGCAAAAGTGCGCATCAAGGGCGCAAACCGACCACACGGGGCGCTCGCGAGCACCCTTCTGAGATCTAAAAATGACAAATGGGACACACTACGGTCTCACAGACTTAACGGACACGCGCACGCGGCAGCCATTGTAAGTCCACAAGACCGAAAGTGCACATGAAGTGTGCCATTTGGGATTGGGCCTGGTACCTGATGTGAGATGAGTGATCAGCATGAACACAAATACTCTTATCTCGTTGAAATCTTGACAGATTTACAAACGGTTTGGTTTATTACAAACGTTATTAACGTGGCTATAATTCTGGATGATTATTTATTTATACACTTATTATTCATAAGTATGCAGTGTCATAACTACATCTCTGGCATTTAAAAACGAACCAAACCGTTTGAAAATCGGTAGAAAATTGAGCAAGTTATGGTTATTTAAAAAGTACATGCACCATTAAAACACAATGTTACGAGTGAGCGAGCTGCCTGTGACAAGATGGCCGCCAGGTGCGGACGTCGACCTCCATTGGCCAGCAGCGTGGACGAGACATCTAGCCTTTATTATGGATATCTATGCATGGGACGGGTAGGTCCACGGAGGCTTCCATGTTCCGCCATCTTGAAAAACTATAATAGCAGAGAGGGACAAAAAGTACTAGGCCAACGCGTTTTCGTTCAGAGCCAAGAAACGGAGGAGCAGAGCAGTGAGAGGCGCTTGTCACTGCCCCGGCAAGTTTCACAGTCAGTAATTCGCTGTAACATTCGTTTGTTCGTTGTGTCAAGTTCCAGTTTGTTTGAAATAACAAACCTGTTCACCCGAAGGAACACTCGACGAAGTGCTAATAGAAGACATACTGTCATAGCTTTTTGGTACATAACGGCTACCGTCGATACAACACGCATTTGAAAAAGCTAGGCGCTGGAGAGCACAATTCGTTTGAATGCAAAATACAATTTCACCGCTAGATGGGAGAAATTACATTGTCCCTTTAAAAACCTTATTACCTTTTTGTTTGACTTATTTGGAAATGAGACATTTGTACCAGTCGCACTGAGACATTTCAAATGATAGCAAACGTATAAAACTCGATGATAATCATTCACATTAAACCATTTAGATTCTTGTGTGAGTTTGGGTGATCTCTGCAAGAGTGGGGGATGAGGGGGAGAAATGTAGATTAGGATGAGGGAGGTGAGACCTTCGTCTCGATAGTGCACGAGGGGGAGTTCAAATGTTAATTTGCAGCAAGGTCCTTTGTCCACTCGAGGAGTGGTCGTTGCTCAACCAGTTTTTCCAGTCTTACAAAATACTCTTGGATTCATCAGTCGCCACCAAACTCGGTCAACATGAAGCCAGGATATTGAGGATGCTAAATTGCGAGCGAATTTTTCATATCTCGAACGGTTTAGCCGTGGCGTTGAAATGAATTTATGGCGAGAAAAGGGAAACAGGAAGCGTGTTATAACTTCTACATAGCCTACATTGACTAATTTTGATTAAACTTTAGCTGTATGTTCATTGAAGGAGGCCGATCACTGGATGTAGCAGCAGGAAGTGTATCACTTTGAAAATGTTGCTCTTATTTTTACCCGACAACTTACCCAAACAATGTCAAGACACAGCAAATGCAAAACTTTGAAAGGATTTGTGATATCTTAAATACTGTTGCCATGGCAACGTGTCAAACTTTAATATTCTTTTTGGGTTGTCTTGAGATTTGCTTGAAACTCTACTGTCTACTGTCGGCCAGTAGACATGGGCAAAGCATTAGAAACAGGCATGGAGGATCTTCTGACAAAAGTGGGGGGTTCGTTTTACTTACAGTCACCAAACTTGGTACGTGTATTGTCCTCACCGGACAAGTTTCTAATTGACACTTACCAACAGGAAGTCATCTATTTTGGTTTGAATGTGTGTTTCTTTAAAAATCAGGCATTTTAACATGAAATTCATCTAAATTTAAATGATCTCATGGATGTGGCTGTTGTGGTTCGTGGTCATAGTGGCACCAGCTTCTGCAGTAAATGTGGCATATCCAAACGACTTATCATTTCTGATGTATGATTTAGTCCTTTTATATTTTTACCCACTTTAAATGCATAAGCCAGCGGGAAGGTGGTGGCGCCGGGACTTGGGCCTGTCATCACTATTGCAGCTATATTTTATCCTGTTTTAATAGATGTTTAAAACTAAACAATGCCTATAGTAATTCTGAAAATGTTTACAATGGCTTTTCACGTTGTTCACTCACTATCATTCACGTCAAATCCGGCCAGGTATTTTTGCAGTACTCTTCTGTTAGCAAACACTGTCGCTCTCCTGCAGGTGATAGGTGAGTGGGGAAAAAAGACCATATGAGTAGGTCAAAAAATCTACAAAAAACAAGGAACTCCCGCACACTATCCATAGGCCTACTTGCAAATGAGTATCAAAATTTTATTAGCCACGTTTCGGTCTCACGACCTTCATCAGGCATATACAAACATTCAAACTCAATCCCATTTAAAATAATCACATGACCAATCAATGTAAAGATCCATTTGCAACCAATTAGGCTCAGTGATTGATTACATAACTAACTCCACATCATCATCCTCACAGACAGGTATAGACAATTGTAAATATCAAAGACACTTTATAACATCACATTAAATATGATTAATGCTTCATCATTCATACCCTATAAATTCTGAAGGGTAAAAATCCAAAACAGTTCACGTCTCTGTAAAAGCAATTCAACATCACCCCCTCTAGGTGGCGCACTCACTTTTTCAATCCCACAAAAACGTAAGGAGGAAATATCGTGATTCGAAGATAGAAAATGAGCCGCAGTAGGCCTACTCTTCTGTAAATTGGATATATTCATGTCTGAGCAGTTACTCTCTAAACTTTCATGATCCTGGAATATTGCTTACTTAGTTAAGCCTTCGAGTAACACATTAGTTTAATTATAGGCAAACTTCATCAGTCTCAGAGGAACAGATGTTTCTGTGCATTTAATGGCTTAGTCTTTAATCATAAGATGGCTGATTGCACTGCATGTAATCACATCTTTCTGTCTTAGGTATTAATTAGGTTCTAAGCGCAGTAGCCCTTATCTAAAACACGTCTGCCGCTGTCTGCCTGTGAAAGAGTTTGTCTGGCTCTGGCTCATAAGGACACACAGAAGTCTCTGTCTTTTTAGTTTTTATTCCAGTGGTCCTGAACTTCACAATGACACCAGGCCTCGGGTGTCATGGAATCTGGTATTTAGTGACAGAAACAATGTAGTAAAAACATTAGTAGCAAAAGATGATGATTAAAGGAATTATGGGAAAGGGTGTTTTGTTATGTAATATAGCTTCTTTTTTTTTTTTTTTTAACTGCTTTTAAGGACCTCCAATGAACTTGCATCAAAAAGGTTAAATGTGAGTTGGGAGTCTCATGGGTTTTACTCCCATCCTTATCGGGGTCTCAAGTGCTATTACCATCACAGTCAAACAAGAGGCTTGCCAAGCAGACAGAGACACAACCTCTCCCACTTAGATCAGATTTAGCAATTATGTTATTTGATTAGATTGTGTAATTAAATCCCACAAGGTTAAGTGTGCACTACATCTCGTCGTCTCCACTACTCTCTTTTCTTTGTGACATTTAACCTTCACTGGTCTCTCTCAGTCCATGAAGACACATTTGGAAGTAAGGACTAGTTTATTTGCATTAGGTACATTTAAATGAACTGTTCATTGAAGCCTTATTGCCTATTTGTTAGGAGCAGGGATCCATTTAGCAAATCTCAAGCTTTATATGGGGGCTCTGAGGTAAAATAATGAAATTGTTGGTTATTACCGTTCAAAAGTTTCCAAGGCTGCATTTATTTGATTAAAAAAAACGGATTTTTTTTAATATTGTAAAATATAATTAAAATTTGAAAAAAGTGATTTCTATTTTAATATATTTTAAAATAGTCATGTGATGTCAAAGCTGAATTTTCAGCATCATTACTCCGGTCTTCAGTGTCTCATGATCCTTCAGGAATCATTCTAATATGATGATTTGATGCTCAAGAAACATTTCTTGTTATTATCAATGTCGATCACAGTTGTGCTGCTTATTTTGTGGAAACGGATACATTTTTCAGGATTCTTTGAAAAATAGAAAATTCAAATGTTTTGTAAAATGTTTTGTTTTGGCTGCCCCTGGCCCACCCTTCCCTCTGTCTGGCTGCATTATGATTCACTTTTCAACATATTACTTGATTTTCTTATTATGCTCACTGTTACGTGTTACACAAACCATATAGGCTATATGCCAAGCATGTTGGCTAAAACACGTCCTTATGCATTGTTAGTGTCTCTGCCGTTTCTTCTCGTTCATTTTTCCTCTTTTTAGAAAGCATGTATTCGATCAGCCCCTCCTTTTTCCGTCTGTTGCACAAAAATATCCCTTTTTCACTGTCTAAACCAGTCTGTCTCTGCAGCTCCTATTAACCTGACTCACTCACACACACACTTTCTCTCACCGTCTCCACTTCTCCAGAGCCTTTTAATAATGCATGCTGCTATACAATTCAAATGAGATAGATTTTTAAACACACCAGTGAAGTCTGAGCGCACACTCTTTCTCCCTACATCCTGCTGCACCCCGGTCCCTCACTGTCCTCCTCGCCTAACAACCGTTGCCCTGGAAACTGTAACGTCCTGGAGACATATGCGGTATAGAGGGAGCAAGGAAACAGCGGAGAGGGAAAGAGTGTCCGAAACAGGCACACGGAGTCTCAAATGTATTTATAATGACAGAGGAGTGGCATAATGAGGGACAGTTTATTCACTGGACTCATTGATGCATAATCAGTGTTGGTACAGAGCAGAATAAGGATCAATACTGCAAGATCTATCAAACGCTTGGGTTCAGATACAGCGTACATCACATATTATTGTTCCAAAGCAATTCATTAAGGCATGCACAGGCAAATCTGCACAAAATCAGGATTATATTAGCAACAAGAGTTATCATAATGCCTCTCAAATCATTTCATGTCACAGAGGAATCTTGAGTAGCACAGCACAGGTGCTTTCACCAAAATGCTGATGAATTTGTAAGGGAATGTTTAATAAACACAAAAAACGGATTTATTCTTCACACCAAAAAACAGCACAGCAGGTAGAACTTGTAACCCAGAGAATTGGACTCGGCTGTTGTCTTTGAAACATTTGTTTCAGAATTATATTATGCAGCACAGGCAATCTGTTATCAGTAAGCAAACATGCTTGTATAAGGTCAAAGTTTCAGCAAAGCACAAATGGCATAGAACACAAACGGGTTACATACCAATAAAAATACTCAAGAGTGAGAAAATTTGTGAAAGCACTGCAGTGTTAACAGTCAAGAGTTGCATTACGAACACTGTTCATGTCCATCAAAGAGATTCAGATTACCAGATGCAATTGGAAGCGGTACAAATATGTACAGACACATATATACATACACATATATATATATATATATATATACAAGCATGAATTGTAAGCGGGTTAAATACAAATAGCTGAGCAGAACAATTCAAGAGAACAAAAGTCAAGCTGGCATTCACTGACTGCACGCAGTTGGATCAAATGTGCATGCTAAGGTCATTCCTATTTGAGTGGTGTGGATGTGAAGTGGCCGCAAATGGAAATGTATCAAAAAGACAACTGGAGCTGGTTCTGTTGACGCAAGCCCACAGCAAGACCCCAAAATGGAGGCCTCTCAAACTGAGTCAGCATGCTTATCGACATCATACTGCTTGTGATGCTAAATAATTTGCATTAGATAGAACATTTACAAAGTGTTAGCATAGGTTTTGCCTTGTAAAAAAATAGTAATACTTGATTTCAGAGACTTAACAAGTGCTCCCCATCTCTGTCAAAAAGCTGTTGCCATCAATAAAACAGAATCGCATTCTGCATGCAAGAGACCTGAAGCCATGAAAATGAGGGATTTGTGATATCATCTGTAAAAGAACTCCAAATATGTAGGGATGCACAATAATTGGGTATCATATTTGTTATCGTTTGGTATATTTACATTGATCAGTCAGTCAATATTAGATTTTTCTTTTTATTTGGATGATTTTGAATTTTAATTGTGCATGCTCATTTCCTCGGTTTTTATATTTAATTTATCAGTCGTTGTATTTAATCGGTCAGTCAATATTGGAAATTTGTTGGCTGATATTGAGTATTTAATTGTGCATGCTCATTTCCTCTGTTTTAAAATGTAATTTATCAGTTATTGTATTTTATTAGTCAGTCAATATTGGAAATGTTTTGGTCAAATGAAAATGTTCTCGCTTCTAGATTATTTACATTTAGATTAACTTTGTCATCCCACTTAAAGTTAATCTTTAAAAACATGAATAATTAAATAACATTTCTTAAATGTAAACTTGAGTATTCATTTTAAGCACATTTTTTTTTGTTGAGCCTAAATTTATTTTTAGCATTTTATTCTTTATTTAGTTTTTTCGATAAAATAGTATTGATTTTGAAAATTAGCCACATCAACTATCGGCCAATTATCAGATTATCGGTATGTTCTAACATTTTAATATCGGTGCATCCCTGCATATATATGCCTTCTTAAAAATGCATTCATCCTCTTATTTCCCACATGCCCACCTAAGCTGGAGTCTTGGCAGCATCTGAATTTTGGCACGGCCGGTGTGGCCTAACTAGGAATGAATCAGGTTTCATTATGTTGAGCAAAACAAATCATTCCACCAAGCAAACAGTTTTGGGCTGTGTAAAACGATTCGTCATAATCAAAATGTCCTAGCGTTCCTGCTGAATGTGCTTAAAGAGTCTGATTCTATTGTAAACATTACGGTGTAAAAACATGAGTATCATCATTTTGCCTCATACTGATAAAACACAATAATAAATCAATGGTTTGCTTTCTGTTTGCCTTGAAGGATCTGGCTGAGCATAGCTGTAAGGAAGAGGGGAGGGCATGTTGGCAAGCGTTACGATACACACACACACACACCACACACACACAGACACAAACACACACAAGCAGCCAATCAGAGGCAGCTAGGATCCCTCTCAACACTACTGCATTCCCTACATCTCCCCATCTCTGGGGTATCTTTTCATCTGAAGCCACCGCCCCCCTCCTCTCTTCTCTCTCCATCCTTCCATCTGTGGGAAACAAAAGACTGCAGCTTGGTCTCGATCCCTCCCACTTTCTCTTCACCTCTCCCTCCTTCTCTCTCTGTAGGATTTTCTGATACATTATTTTTTTTCTTTATGTGCATTAACCTGCATCTTAATACCTGTGTTTTGTGTGTGAATATTAAGAACAGAAAGAAAGAACTAAAAATAGAGAGGTGACTGTGCTGTTCTTCCACATCGTTTCATTCCTTTCCTTTGAGACAATCATGTCTGATAAAAAAATTGATGTTGATGGATGCCAATACAGAAGGCATCTGCTGATTTATACAATAAATTACATTTTAATCTGAGCTTTTCTTTATGGATTCACACTTCTGAGTAAACAAGGGGTAGTAAGCTGAACTTGTGCCTAAAAGACTTTTAATCTTTGTCCAAAAAACAAAACAAATCCTCTCCAGCAATTCCCTCTGATTCTTTTCCTCCCTCAAATCCTCAAGGGGTGCGCGGCGAATGAAATGAGATCATCTTCGTGGTCTCCTTACTGACATCATCTGAAACGAGGAGTCCTTTGTTGAAAATAAAAAAACAAATATGCATGCCTTGCCACTTCACTCGTGATCCAGCTGAGTGTGTTGTTTCTGAAAGTTCTGGCATGGTAGAAGATAAAGGTACCATCCAGCTTTAGAGTCTTCAGACAGAGTATAAAACAGGGGAAAACGCATTCAGGAGCATTCGGATGTAGAAAGATGAACGACACATGGAAGAAGAAAATGGTCATCATGTACTGGTTGTTGGGTGTGAAGTTTAGTCATGAATTTTTCTTCATCCTGAGTGTTGTGATGGCCGTCAGGTCTTAAGTATTACTGAAAGAGAAGAAGAGGTGTTCAAAGAGTGAAGCAAAGTGAATCCAAACAAAACAATGATGATGTTGATGATGATGATACAATTACAACTCAATAAGAATTTAAATTTAAAAAAATTCGCTCAAACTCTTAAACCTCTTGTGTCTACAACAGACACAAGAGGAGACACAACAAACAAGATTGCTTTATACAAATATTATGAATTGATTGCAATGACTTTTATTAATTATATATTTCAATCATTTTCAACTTTTACAACAAAGTCAGCTTGTGATGTTTCTGTTCTTTAGCATTGCATTTATTTTTATTTATTAAAGCATAAGTATAAGTATATGCAGTTGTACTGTAGATGGATTTTCAACATTTTTAAAATAAAGCAGGATACAAGTTATATACACTACTGTTCAAGAGTTCAGGGTCAGTTTTTTTGTTGAAAGAAAGAACTTAATGCTTTTATTCAGCAAGGAGGCATTAAATTGATCAAAACTGACAATTAAAATGTTACAAAAGATTCTATTCATCAAAGAATCCTAAAAAAATCCACAAAAATATTAAGCAGCACAACTGTTTTCAGCATTGATAATAAAAAAAATGTTTCTTGAGCATCAAATCAGCATATTAGAATGATTTCTGAAGGATCATGTGACACTGAAGACTGGAGTAATGATGCTGAAAATTCAGCCTTACATCACAGGAATACATTTTATTTTAAATTATATTTAAATAGAAAACAGTTCTTTTAAACTGTGATAATATTTTACAATATTTCTGTTTTTGGTGAACATGAGACTTCTTTCAAAACATTAAAAATCTTTCCAACCCCAAACATTTGAACATTAGTATATGTCATATTTCAACTCCTGAAATGACAAGAAATTACATCTTAATCTAAACAGTAATCATTCAAAATATAATATCAGATGTTTAAATGGGTTACCTGCATGCGAAAAAAATAATAATTTACAAACTAAAGGAACATTATTTTTAATCTGATCCCTGAAATGATCTCAACAAACTTAGATCCATTCACAACAGCTCCATGATCAAATTTACCTGTAATCAGATCTAATTCAAATCCTCACGAGCTAAAGTCAATCTGACATTTACCCAAATCACAAAGTCAGCTAGGCTTACACTCAGTTTCACATTCTCTGGGCTCATGGGAAGGATACTCACCACCCCAGTTGATGACGATAGTAACAATAATGATGACAATCCCACCCACCAGCGACACGATGGACAGGACCTTTGCATTCCGGCCAAGACGGCGTGCGCCATCCACGTTTCCCTGCTGCAGACAGTTACGAGACTGAGATTGGAAAGAGAAGTTGAATGAACAGGAGGAAAAGATATACGAGTAGAATAAATAATTCCATTATCATAAGAAACAATTATGCAAGATACAGTTTCTTTGCCAGGAAGAAATGTTTTCAGTTTACTCTCCAATGGCAAAAAAGTTCCGAGTTGCACGATTCTTGCATACACAAGTGAAATCGCAATCCCTCCTTCCTCGACAGAAACTGTATCCAGACATCCCACCCCACGAACACACAAGCACACACACCATCACTGAAAAGGTCAAGCCGACGATGTTGATGGGCCAGACAGGGCAGAGGCAGGCCAGAATAGCCCATATGAGATAATCGTTGGGTTTGGATCCGTCTCCTCCAGCATCAGTGGCTGCGCTGGGCTGTCGGGTGAGCGATGGTCGAGGTGACCCCGCGTAACTCAGTGACCCGGAGCGGCTGCTCAACCTGGTGCGCCCGTTTGCATGTGCGTGGTTGGGTTTGACATACTGTTGACGAGGAGGAGAAGCAGCGATGGGACAACTGTCGATAGGAGCCGGGCAAACACCATTACCTGTGTGATGGCGAGAGAAAGAAACACGTGTGAGAAACCCAGACATTGGACGGATACGTAAGCCTGCATTTCACCCTGTCCATTTTAAACGAAGCGATTCTTCCGTTTGTTTCCAAAGGCACAAATGTCTCAGATATTATTGGTAGATAGCTGCATCTGACTCATCTACTTGTTGAGAAAAACAGACAAGAAAAGAGAGTGGGGGAGGATACAAATCCTGAGAAGAAAAGGGGGTGAAAGTAGAGGCTCTTAATCATGTCCTTCTGACATCTTGTCTAAGATTTACACTCAAGGAAATTGAGAAAAAAAGACAGAGAAAGGTCATCAAAAAAGGTCATAAAAGACAGAAGGGACAGCTTGTACATGTTCACAGTGGGACCCCGTAATTATAAATTGTATATTTTAAAAACAAACTATTTAATAAACAAGCACAATGCAAAATGCAAGACTATAAAATAATTTTTAAGTATTTTTTTTTTTTTTTTTTTTACTTTTTCCTACTATTTCCATCTTCTCGTCAATGACTGTCAGGTGATCTTGGGGTGGGGCATCCTGAGAGGGGGCGGAGTCTACAGCAGGAGTAGGTGTTGTTGCGGGGATTGGATCTTGCTGCTCATTTTTTATTGGCTGAGAGGAGATGGCGGAGAGGTCTAAATCTGTGCCTGGTTGCTGATTGGTCTCTTGCTCCGATTGTTGCTGTTGCTGTTCTTCCTCTTCTGCACCAGGGGCAGCAGTGGGAATGCTGGCGTCAGCATTCAAATCCATTCCCAAGATGTTTACGACAACTTATGGCAAAATCAAGCTTTTTTGTCCGGATTCTGAATTGTTTAGAACTGTTGGGTAAAAGTAAAATAAATGAAAACATATAAGGCATCACATAAATTATATAATGTTCATTCACATAACACAAATATTATGAAGTCAGTCAATAATGAACACTACCATTCAAAAGACTGGGGTCATTAAGAAATGTTTTTATCCAGCAATGACACATTAAATTGATTAAACGTGACAGTTAAGACATTTATCATGTTACAAAAAAAATTCAATTTCAAATAAAATGCTGTTCTTTTAAACTTTCTATTCATCAAACAATCCTGAAAAAAAAGATATCACGGTTTCCACAAAATTAAGCAGCACAATTGCTTTCAACATTTGTCAGCATATTAGAATGATTTCTGAAGGATCATGTGACACCGAAGACTGAAGTAATGATGCAGAAAATTCAGCTTTGATATCGCCGGAATAAATGTAAAAAAAATAGAAAACAGTTATTTTAAATTGTAATCACGATATTACAGTTTTTACTGTATTTCTGATCAAATAAATGCACAGACCTCAAACCTTACCCCTGTCTACCTGCTTAAAGGGGAAGTCAGCAATTTACACTGTCTGTTTTCAAACCAGTTTCCCAAACACTACCCTTGTCTCCCACGTAGCCTACTGGTTTGAAAGACAGATTGTCACGCCCCAAACTCACAGTTTGAACCAACGTGATTATTTTGGTTTCTAAAACATACAGAGCAATGATTTGATTTGCTAGAGCTACAGTGTCTACATTATTTTTAAGGGACAAATTGTTGTTGCTGCATATTAAGCTGGAACAGGACCGTTTAACAAAACCTTTAAGATCTCACCAACATTAAACCTACATTAAGTTGCTGGTAAAAATTATTTGAAGAAAATAATATGTAATCAAATTCACTATATTCTTTACTCCATGATTTTAGCAGGGTATGGCTTAATTATTATTTTTTTTCAAGTCAACTGGTCTTGGGGCTCTGCACCTGTTTACCTGCATACAATGAATCTCCCTCACAGCAGAATCTGTCCTGAGAAATCCTCACATCATCATATACAGATGTGAAAGATGACAGATTTTTGTGAACAGTACACAGTAGGCTAACGAACAATGCTGGATTGCCTAAAACTACACAACATATTGAATGTAAGGTCTTCAAAAAATAGCACTCTGTCACACCCAAGATCCCAGAAATCAAGATCCTAAAAAAAAAAAAAAAAATCATATTTATTATATTCAGATAGAACTAAAATCAAATATTGATTACTTTAAAGTCCACACGAGCATAAGACGTATCGATGTCTGTGACAAAACAAAGAGCATCAAATGACACACCCATATCTGCAAATATATAAATATATATATAAAGCCTTTTATGATTTATGACAGATACATTCTAAATGAACACTGCAACTGACTTAGGCTACACCATGCGGCCATTTAACACAACGCTAAAATCAATGGAATAATCCATCAATCCCACATTAACGACTTTCCCCTTTGCCTGTCATCTGTCTCACTCTTTGAAATGTAAAGAGGTATCCGTCTAGAGGTGAGCACACAACAGACACACACGGGACACGCAGCCACGCGTCTTCTGCACGAATGCCAAATGGCTATATATATATATTTCAATGTTCAATGTAGCCTATTATATATCTCATAATTCAAAGAGAATAATGGTGACCGATAACATAAGAAAAGTGACACACCCACAGGACCCGATAAAGACTGATGCGAGAATCAAAATGCCAGTAATAAACCACAGCAGCATGCAGATCGAACGTATACTCACCTTAATCTAGTGCAAAACAAATTCAAAAATCATTATAATTCTTCTCATTTTGAATTTAAATAAACACTAGGCATATGAAAGTTGAATTAAAGGTGCAACAGAATTAAAATTTTAAAAGGTGTTGATTTACGCTACTACAAAGCTGCTGCGTTTTAGTATAAAAACGTGGGGTGATCTGTCTGCATAAGATCCTCTGCCTGTATGACTCTCTCTGTCTGTTCTATCTGCATGAACCTGTGTGCGCGCGCTCGACTCTGTGTATGCGTGCGCGTTTTTCTTTCTTTTTTTTTTTTTTTTTTTTTTTTTTTTTGGTGGTTGTAGAGAACCTCTGGATAGTGGTGTGGATTTTGATTCATCCCAGTGACTCGAATCTTTTGAGTCGACTGAATAAAATCATTCAGACATCTGGCTACACATTATGATTCTTGAGTTATATCGTTACTCAGGCCTGGGTCATTCCTGGTATGCGGTGACTTTCCTGTCCCAATGATTTATTTACTCATATTTTCTCTAAAATGAGTCACATATTTATAATAAATGGCTTAAATTATAGATTTAAGCATTCTTTACCATTTAAACAGAGATAATAGACATTTAAAAAACTATTTTGTATTTTACACAATTTTAATTGATGTTTACATTCAATTATATCATGTCCTCAGTGCACAGTAATCAACTTCTGCAAGAAATATAAACCATGAAATGACAAAAACCTCAAAATATTTTTAAATTATGTTATAGACTAGGCTAAATTGCCTCTAATCATACATGTAAATCATGTGAAAATAGGTATTTTTCTTAATTTTCTTCAATTACTGCGTCCCTGAAGTCATCTTCCACCCTGTTAGTAGCCTATGTACTTTTTTGCTTTCCAAATCCGACTGCAATTTCATTGAGACCATTTTCAAGAAGTGACTTAATTTCTTTTACCTGCTGGAATTCAACTGTACAAACTGAGGTAAGGTTCAACTCTCACTCCTAACTTTTTTTTTTTTAGTTTTTGAAATGTTATCCTGCTTGTTACCCGTTAGGCTATGTTATGGAGAATGTTTGTCCTATCAAAAAAATGTAAAAACAAATCTGACATAGTTACAAAAGTTCTGTTCATCTGTAGAAGGTTAGCTAAATCTTGATCACTCAAAGAGCTATGGCTAACTTAGCTCAGAATTTTCCACCCTGTTAGATTCCACCCTGTTAGGTCTATAAACCTATCAGGGTGGTCTGAAATGTGAAACATATTCTATTCATCAAAAATTGTTTTGCTTGTTTCAAGAAGAAAAGATCAATCTAAGATGGCATAACTTAGGGACATATACTATCCAAGAAAAGCTCATTATTGTTTAACATCTACATTATTAACATGTTGTGATAATATGTCCCCCCTAACAGGGTGGAATATTTCCATGGACAGTGTCTGAACAATCTACCCATAATTATTATTAAAGAGTCCCTGAGCTTGACCAATATGTATTCCTTATAGTTAAACATGTCACTATTTTGGTAAAATGCTAAAAACATGAAACCCCCCAACACTTATGAAGCCAAAATGTCACCGCATACCTGGAATGACCCACCTACAAGGTTGTTTTCGCAGTCATACACAGTGACAAAAAAAAGGAAAAAGGCAGATCTGCTTTGTTGTAATATGATTATGATGCATAATCTCTGCTTTTAGAGACTGTCAGTGGATCTGTAAAAAAATATACAGTATATCTATAATATAAAGGATGTCTTTTATTAAAGGATACGTATGGCTATGCCTATAAAGAATCGTTAAGAATAGGTTGAGTTTATTGATTCAATGACAATCTCGCAACGCACATCGCCACACGCAGGAGTAAAATGGCTACAAGAAAGTCGCCGTTAACGGACACGCTCCCAATCCAGGCACGAGTTAATTTGCCACTTGTTAATTAACCAATAGAAGCGATGGGTTAATTCTGTCACGTGAAAAATGAATGTAATGTAAATGAATGACTCGGGATGTAAAATCGGGTGTTCCTCGTTTATCTTTAATTGCATTATAATGATTTTCTCATTTATAATATGATCAAAGATTGTGTATGTGAAAGTGTATTGGGCATTTGGCTATGAAAATAATTAGTTCACTTTGAGCGAGACTCGGGAGAGTCAGTAACATGATTCGAGTCACGAAAATCCCCCGCCACCACTTTTTATATGGCAGCGCCGACATGTGGCCAAACACTGAAACACAAGCATTCACAACCCGTATTTCAGGGGTTCTCAACTCTGGCCCTGGAGCTCCACTTTCCTGCAGTTTAGCCTCCAGCCCTAATCAAACACATTTGAACAAGCTAATCAAGGTCTTCAGGATTACTAATATAGGCAGTTGAGTTTGATCTGGGTAAGAGCTAAACTCTGCAGGACAGAGGACGTTGAGGGCAAGAGTTGAGAACCCCTGCCATATTTATTAACAAGTGTTGGAAGACAGCTGACGCAAATACAAATTATTTTATTTTATATTTGAGAAGGCATTATTAGACAATTAAAAAATGTTTTATTGCTGGAAAAATCAGAGCAGAGTAAAAAAAAAAAATCTTGAAAGTTCTTTGGGATTAACTACTGATTATGAATAGTATAAAGACACCCTAGGCACATTTCAACATAACACAATAAAACAAAGTAAAGACTTGAAAAAGCAAATGCGTTAGTAAACCGAAAGGAAAAAAAATCTTTTGAACATTAGTTCACATGAAAAACAGGACAACAAGAGTACTGCTAAAGCTGCATTTTCATGGGTTTAATGTATTAGCTATTAATAGTGTAAACTACAACATGGAGTATAACATCACAGTTTTATTTATGCATTTCATGTGGTATAAGGCCTCTTAACTTCTGTCTCCCCTATTTTTTATTTATTCATCTTGGTCTTTGCCCTGCAGAGCCCCCAGGAGGCCATTAGCAGTAGAAAAGAGATTAATAGGAGAGGAGCCATCTGTAATAAGAGTAGACTTCAGACCCAAAGACTGCAGGAGCTTCACCTGCAGAAAAAAAAAAAAAAAAAAAAAAAACGGAACATGTGAGAAACAGTCGAATCTTTTCACACCTCACATCCATTCAAAATAGTATTATGAAAATATTTGTGATGCAAAGCCTCCATAGAAAGATGTTAATTTGCTATTTCAATGTTCTTGAGTTCACTTACCTGTAGTTCGGGCCCGGCTCGGGCCATTTCCTTCAGGGTATCGGCGCCCAGGTTCGCGATCAACTCCTTCAAGCGCAGACTCTCAATCTCTGCCAGCTTCTTCCGCTTCTCCACCTCCATTTGGTCCGTCTCCTTCTTGTAGTTCAGCTCCTGCTCACGTGCCTTACACAGACGGGCCAGCTCAGAGTCCTGACACACAGAGGAGAGGGAAATGGTCAGAATCTAATAGTGTAAGAATAGATAAAGAGGAGATCTAGCACATTTTGGATGACATACAGCCTCGATTTTCCGAGCCTCTGCTTTGAGTTTGGCCTCTTCAACCGCTGCCTCTCCATGTATACGAGCTGCCTCGGCTTTAGATTGTGCCTCGGCCTTCGCTGCTCCTGTGCTCTCCACTGCAGCACTGGGATGCACACACATTGATTATTATCCGTGAAAACGTTAAATGAGCACACAAGCTTTAGCATAGCACTGGCCCTTGCAGTGAACTCACCTCTGGGCCTCCAGCTCCAACAGCTCCTTCCTCGCCTTCTCTGCCTCTGCCTGGTCTGAGATCTTCTGCCTCTCCAGGCGACCCCGAGCCTCCTGCTCCAGACGCTCTGCTTCGTGTCTGAAACAAGGGAAATGAGTGTTAATGGGCACGACAGACAAATGTGGAAAGCTGGGAGAATAACAGGAGCTCGATTCTTCCTCAAAGCGAAACATCAGAGTAAAGCATTGCTTATGTAAATTAAGATAAACGAAGAGACTGAGAATTAGATTAAAAGAAACCCATCAGGCTAAAGCCCCGTTCACACCAAGGACGGATAGAATCGCAGACCAAAAGAATAGCAGAGTCAACATGCACCAATGCTACATTTTTCTAAATGTCATAATCATTTGTTAACAAACAAGTATTCATTACTTCAATGAGGTCATTGTTTCTGCCTTAAATTATTACATTGTTTAAATGAATACATTTTTAGCTAACTGTGATTTTGTATATGTACATTTCTGAAATACATAACTTCGACAGTTACCTCTGATAACAGATCACTCTAAATTGTAAAGTGGACTCGAGCATTTTCTGTAAAGCTGCTTTGAAACGATGTGTATTGTGAAAAGCGCTATACAAATAAATGAGAATTGAATTGAACTACGGTATAACGATAATGACAATACAGTGAATACACCTAAAAAAACGAAAATAAAAAGTAATTTTTCTATGGCTAATCAATGTAAATTGTTATAATTGTTATAATTATTTCTGACATACCGGTAATTATTTCTATATTGATATTTCATCTGGATTTTGTTTCCAGGTTTCTGCAGCTGGAAGGGTTATTTTGTCTGATTTGACTGCTTCTACATTTTGCTTTTACTTCACCTGTTTATTGGATATTAGTATTTTGGATTACCCTTTCAAAATTTGTTTTATATTTGGTTCTAACCTTGTCAGCATTATTATACCCATCTACAATGCTGTCAATTTCCCTGTGATTGCTCAAATATTTCTTCATGAAATTTCACTTTCTTATTGACTGCATGAATCCTGCTTGTGGAATTCTATGGTTAGGTTTTCAGATCTGAAACATGCAGTGCTCAGTATAGGTTGTGGCTGTTTGTGGGAGATCAAGTTCCCTCATCCACAATTTATTGCTGATCCCTTTGTTTCTTTTGATCTTTCTTTTCCGGTGTGTCATTTGACACAACGTTGCCTGTGTGTGTGGTGTGAATTGGCCTTAAGAGACTAAGTATGTAATAATGTTAAATACTGTAAAATAATATACCTCACATATTTAAATACCTCTATTTAAAATGAAATAACTTAAATGTTTAAAAAATTTAATTTTTGAATGTGAAAAATATGAATATAAAGAATTTAAAGGGAAAAAATGCATCATAAAGAGAGA